TGGTTTAGAATAATAACTAGATTTTGGAAATTGAACGAGTTCAATTTCAGACTCCAGATCTAGACTTTTTTTTAGCCGAGTCATCCAGAATAAGCCAAGTCATCCAAATAAGCTGAGTCATCAAGAAAAAGATGGATGGATAAAATAGGAAGGTAGGATAGGATAGAATAGGAAGGAACGATAGGATAGAATAAGAAAGAAGGATAGGATAGAACAGAATAGGAAGAAATGATATGATAGGAGAGGATAGGAAGGATAGGAAGGAAATGATATGAAGGAAGGATAGATAGGAAGGATAGGATAGGATAGGGTAAGATCAGATAGGAAGGATGGATGAATTTTTCAATATTTTCTTCTCTACTCTTGACTTTCTATCAGGATACCATCAGATCGATTTTCCGAAATTTCAAAACGCCATAACTTCCAAACCAGGAGTCGAATCGAAAAATATGATTTAAAGATTCGGATTCCTGACAAAATTCTACCCCTAATTCATAACTCATACGTTAAATTTGGCGAATTTTTATTTTGACCTACTTTTCGGACACCATATCTCAAAAGTGGGGCAAAATACTTTCTGACGGCAAAAGGCTAACACTATTAGCACTCTCTTGGCTACATGTATACAAAATTTTGAAGAATATAATTAATCTGTAGTGTCAGAATCGCAAAAATAAGGAAAAACCTTGAATTTGACCTAGATTTTGACCTAGGGATTTTGGTGTCCAAATTTTGAAGTTAAGTAGCCTTCGAGGTCCCCTTCTTTCATAGGCTTTCATTATTTTAAGCTGTAATTAGTATATATCTTGTATTTTACACTTCAAAAAAATCTTTTTTCCCATTGACATAACGTGGGACACCAAATTTAGCAATTTTTGAGCTTTCAAAATGTCATAACTTCCGAACCAGAAGTCAGATTGAAATTTGGTTTGCCGATTCGGATTCCTGAGAAAATTCTATACTTAATTCATAACTCAAACGTCATATTTGGAGAATTTTTTATTTTGACCTACTTTTCGGACACCATATCTCAAAAGTGGGGCAAAATACCTTCTGACGGCAAAAGGCTAACACTATTAGCACACTCTTGGCTACATGTATACAAAATTTCGAAGAATATAATTAATCTGTAGTGTCAGAATAGCAAAAATAAGGAAAAACTTTGAATTTGACCTAGATTTTGACCTAGGCATTTTGGTGTCCAAATTTTGATGCTAGATGGCTTTTGAGGTCCCATTCTTTTAAAACCTTTCATTATATTTAGCTGAACTCAGTCTATATTTCGTATTTTTCACTTCAAAAAAATCTTTTTTCCCGTTGAATTAACATGGGCACCAAATTTAGCGATTTTTGAGCTTTCAAAACGCCATAACTTCCGAACCGGAAGTCTGATTCGAATTTGGTTTTCAGATTCGGAATCCTGAGAAAATTTCCTATAAGACTAATATCCTGGACATTTGATTCGGAGAACTTTTTTTTGGACCTCGTTTTCGGACACTGATATCTCGAAATCGGTTTGAGATATCAAAAAACTAAATCGACATTAGCTTTCCTACTTTTTTATAAGGAACACAATGAAAAAAACCCGGATCAAAAATATTGAAGGACGACCGAGAAAATCGAAAAAAGTGACAAAGTACTGGATTTGACCTAGTTCTTGACCTTTGACCTAGATAAAAAATTGACCCAATTTCCGAGGAACTAGATTCTGGACCTAAATTGACCAAATGACTGACTTTACTGAAAACCTTATGGTTATTGAGAAAACTGGGTTAGAATAAGAATAATAAAAAGAATAATAAAAAGAATAATAAGAAGAATAAGAAAACTGACGAAAACAATAGACTCCAGATTTCATCTGGAGTCTAATAAGAATAAGAAAACTGACGAAAACAATAGACTCCAGATTTCATCTGGAGTCTAATAATAAGAATAAGAAAACTGACGAAAACAATAGACTCCAGATTTCATCTGGAGTCTAATAAGAAGAAGAAAAAGAATAATAAGAAAACTGACGAAAACAATAGACTCCAGATTTCATCTGGAGTCTAATAACTAGATTTTGGAAATTGAACGAAGTTCAATTTCAGACTCCAGATCTAGACTTTTTTTAGCCGAGTCATCCAGAATAAGCCGAGTCATCCAGAATAAGCTGAGTCATCTAGAAAGAGATGGATAAATAAAATAGGAAGGTAGGATAGGATAGAATAGGAAAGAACGATAGGATAGAATAAGAAAGAAGGATAGGATAGAATAGAATAGGAAGAAAGGATAGGATAGGATAGGAAAGATAGGAAGGAAAAGATATGAAGGAAGGATAGATAGGAAGGATAGGGTAGGATGAGATAGGAAGGATGGATGAATTTTTCAATATTTTCTTCTCTACTCTTGACTTTCTATCAGGATACCATCAGATCGATTTTTCTCGAAATTTCAAAACGCTATCACTTCCGACCTGGGAGTCGGATCGAGATTTAGTTTGCAGATTCGGATTCCTGACAAAATTCTACCCCTATTTCATAACTCATACGTTAAATTTGGAGATTTTTTATTTTGACCTACTTTTTGGACACGCCATAACTTCCGAACCGGAAGTCGGATCGACATTTAGTTTGCAGATTCGGATTCCTGACAGAATTCTACCCTTAATTCATAACTCATATATTCAATTTGGAGAACTTTTTATTTTGACCTACTTTTCGGACACCATATCTCAAAAGTGGGTCAAAATACTTTCTGACGGCAAAAGGCTAACACTATAAGCATATTCTTGGCTACATGTATACACAATTTCGAAGAATATAATTAAAGTGTAGTGTCAGAATCGAAAAAATAAGGAAAACCTATGAATTTGACCTAGATTTTGACCTAGGCATTTCGGTGTCCAAATTGTGAAGCTAGATGGCTTTTGAGGTCCCCTTCTTTTAAAGGCTTTGATTATATGAAGCTGAACTCAGTCTATATTCCGTATTTTTCACTTCAAAAAAATATTTTTTCCCATTGACTTAACATGGGCACCAAATTTAGCGATTTTTGGGTTTTCAAAACGCCATAACTTCCGAACCGGAAGTCAGATACAAATTTCGTTTTCAGATTCGGAATCCTGAGAAAATTTCCTATAAGACTAATATCCTGGACATTTGATTCGGAGAACTTTTTTTTGGACCTCGTTTTCGGACACTGATATCTCGAAATCGGTTTGAGATATCAAAAAACTAAATCGACCCTAGGTTTCCTACTTTTTTTAAAGGAACACAATGAAAAAAACCCGGATCGAAAATATTGAAGGACGACCGAGAAAATTGAAAAAAGTGACAAAGTACTGGATTTGACCTAGTTCTTGACCTTTGACCTAGATAAAAATTTGACCCAATTTCCGAGGAACTAGATACTGAACATAAATTGACTAAATAATGATCTTTATTGGAAACCTAATGGTTATCGAGAAAACTGGGAAAGAATAATAAGAAAGAATAATAAAGAATAATAAGAATACTGACAAAAACAATAGACTCCAGATTGACATCTGGAGTCTAATAATTGGAGAAATGATATTTTACAATATCCTATATTAAGAACATATAAGCTATTTAAGAAAGATTTTGAATTAGAACCATATTTGAAACTAGATAATAAAAAATATAGATTAGCAATAGGTAGATTTAGGTTAAGTTCACATCGGTTAAAAATAGAATCTGGAAGACACATAAAACCCAAACCTAAACCAGTTAATGAAAGGTTGTGTAATATATGTAAATGTGTGGAGGATGAATTTCATTTTATCATAAATTGTACAAAGCATTCTCAACACAGGCAAATATTTTTCAGTAAAATTCCTGAAATATTACCAACATTTGACTTGAATAGTAACGATTTATTTATAAATATAATTTCTAATGATAATATCATCTTCCAACGACATCTTGGTAAATTTATATACCAATCATTTAACAATTTAGAATAATCAGCAAAATTTGTGCATCACACTTTAAAATATTTTGCCTTTCTTGTATGCTTTCTGTAAAAAATATATCAAATCATGTATATTTTTAAAAAGATGTAGTTTTAGTAAGTAGTTTAGTAGTAGATAGTAGTTTTAGTGAGTAGTTTATGACTAATGTAATCATGTTATGATACAATATGTCAATAAAAGTTATATATATTTGGAACATGAAATTGATGGCCTGTGTTAAAACCCCAAGGTCAAGCTGATCTGGTCACTCTCTAAGGCATTTTAGAAACAGATTTTTCATTGAAATTGATCAGTTCTATCTTTATATTTCTCAGTCAAAACATATTTAGAGAAAATTTGACCTTCCAAACCATTTTTGTTTATCTAATATCAGTTTAGTAAGAGGTTTTAATCATGATTATTTTTGTCTAAAAATGGTATTTTGCAGTGTTTTGTAGGTCTGCTTTGTCAAAGAATTTCTATTGAAAGTACAATTCCCCAAGCTTCACAAGTTCAGGGGCTCACTTAATTTTTTGTTTGATGGAATAACCACTTAACTTTTATCTTTTTTGTACATATTTTATAGATCTATAAATCATAGATGTAATTTGAATTGATTTATGTCATTTATAAGAAAAACATGTCTATCTTTCCTTTTTTTGTAAATCTTCATGGGATATGGATTAAACAGATTTTCTTTTTTTACTTTGTTGTCATCGCTTTAAGGATTTCCACCAAAGTATTGTTTACTCCAGAATCTAGCAGTAGTACCATTTGGATTGCAGCCTGATTCCTAAATATTACATAGCAGTTGCTTAGCTTGGCAAGCTAGGGATTCACATGCATGGGACTGGATTTCATCATCTTCATGTCCAAGTTGGTCCAACTTATCATTAAGGTAAAGCCGGAAAATAACATTCAAGTATGTGCTAGGTATTTAATTGTTCAATGGCAATACTTTGTCCTTTCTCCTGGGTTACTCTATGAGTTTATTTGTAGCTAATAGATTGAATTATACCATTAAATATCAAAAGTGATGTCATGATATTTGAAATCTACTTTTTCTGCCATGTTATCTGACCCAAATTTGCCACCTGGTGGTGAATCTGGTAACTACCTAATGACATCCGGAAAATTGTATGTGATTTGTCAAAGTAGACGTTCCCATGGTGTTTGCTTCTACAGTGGTGGTATAATTATACAGTTTTCCATATACATGTAGTTATAATAGCCATATATATGTAGCTGTATTTCATTGTAAAGAGAAGATGCTTTCAACTTTAAGACACTGTCATATTATTTTCCAGTACATACATGTAGTATGAAAGAAGTACCTGTCATCTCAGTTTCTGGTAACTGTCATTTCAATTATCTAATCAGATAAAAGATTTTTGAGCTCATTATGACAAGCGAGATACTGGACATGAAATACCCTGTGCGCAGAGTCTAGTTATGAATTACCCTCTGCCTAGTATAGACTATATTACAGTTTAGCAGCCCCACCCCAAAGATTAGTGCCTGTGACAGCCCGGGTAATAAATCATTTCAAATCTACCACGCTGATACTTTCTCAACCAATCAGCGAAGTGGAAGGAACCCGTGCTAAATACATGCTCATTAACTATGCGGTGATCTCATAGGAAATGACCAAATAGAAAGTCGTCCATATTTCGACTACGAACTCTGATTGGCTCGATGAGATCAAAGATTTATTGTAAGCTGAAAGAGTGAAGACAAAGCTCTCTTTTAAGAAGTGAAGTCGAACGAATGCAAAGGGTAGACATGAAAGGGAGTGTGTTATAAATTCAATGCCCCATGCAGGAATCAAACCCAGGAACTTCCGCTCAAGAGTTCAATGCTCTAAAGCTTAGCTCAGAGGGGCTAGGCACTACAACCGGGCTGTAGTAGCTTATCCCGTGCCAGGACTATAGTCCTGGATCGAGGGCAATCTTTTGCCTGTAGGATTACAACTTGGGAGAATTATCTACGCCCCTTACACTTAAGATACCTACTTCAATAGATTCCTTGGTATTTAGCATTCTTTTTGTGTAGTTGAATCCACAATGTTCTGGGTATATCGGCAGAACGGGAATATTTTTCTTTTTCATCGAGAGAGATTCCATCACTTTTCAAGATGGTGGTTGGATTTAAAAGGGGATTCCCCATTTGACTGACCCGGAAGTGGCCCAGAAATACCAATTGACCCTATGCACGAGTGACGTCACAAATACACATTTTTCCAGCTCAGTTCAGCTGGCCGTCTAGAAAAGCCCGGGAAAATCAAAACATCAAATATGGCGGAAAGCAAAACAACAACTGTTTCTTCTACGAGGAAATCATCTCAAATATCTAAGTTAGATCATGAAAGTCTGAATCGATATATAACAAAAATTGAACCTTTGGACGGGGTTGACCCGTATAGCATTGATCGCAATAAATTAATTGGATTAATGTCACTTTCAAAAAAGAATCTCCCGGATTTTAGTTTTGGAGATATTTACCAGTACCTGATCAATACGCCTAGCAAGTTGTTCAACGGACAGACCTTGAAGGCCTACAAATCGCTTGAGGGATATCAGTACCTCGTTGCTGGTTATGTAAGAAATGTACTTACATATAGATGTACATCGGGATCTCTTGTTATTCTAGCTAAGGTAAGGTTTGTACGCCAAGATGTTATCTCACTTTTCTAAGTTTACTTCGGTCCAAAGCCTCCTCTACGATTTTTGTTGAATGATTTTAATTGTTGAACCAACGTCCTCTCTCCACTCCTCACGGTCACTACCGTTTGAAAATCGAGTCAGTGTGGGCTGCACTGCATATGTCAGTTTGTCTTTCAACAGGTCAAAGTTGCTACATAGTAAACAACTAAGTCGGACAGTGGTCGGTGTATACTGACCTGATTTATTGTACAGATGTTTTTGTACATCTAGTTGTAAACAAATAACCAACTTTCGATTGCGATCCAGTGTATCAATTGCCTTGCACGTTAGCTAGATTTAAATTAAATTGTATCCATATTTAGGCCTACGAGGTCATGTCGTGAAGAATTGGTATCATCGAATAATAATTATATGATTACAGGTATACCATTCTCAGGCACTAAATAAAACACCACTGGAACCGTGGATAGCTGTGCATCCTAGTGTGTATGTATGTATGTATATATTTATTGCCCTTTATATAAAGGAGATACATGTATACAATTTATGTTAAATTGAAAATAATCACTATTTACAAACAAACAATGTCGTTGCTTTTTAACTGACGACGACGCCTAGCTACTGCGTAGACGCACGCCGCCGACCAAGATTGGCCTAGCACCTAATTGTAACGCAATTATAAAGTAACTATATTTTCAAACGCTCATTGCTTTGTTATTTATTTTGGTTTTTTTTTGAACCGACAACGACGCCTAGCTACCGCGTAGACGAACGCCGTAGGCCTAAATAGACCTGTACCTAACACTCTTGAGATTAATCAAAAAATGACATTATGGAGCTGCATTTTCTATAAAATTAAAAAGAAGACATAGCATATCATCGTACCTTCCCCAAGGTCGGTACTGTAGTGCTGTATGAAAGTATGTGGGGAGGTGATATGTGCTCATTGTACCTGCATGGCAGGTCTAGGGGAGGCATGCTCACACATTGCAGCAACTCTATTTGCGTTGGAGACAAGAGTCATAAATGTAGCTCGTCAGTCCTGTACCTCAGTTCCATGTGAGTGGAGCAGCGTATCTGACAAACCTGTTTCATACAGACCAGGGAGTGACATAGAGTTTTCAAGCCCATCCCACAAAAGAACAGCAATGTGTGCTCCATCAACAGCACCAACACGCAAGACTCGCAAAAGTGATAAAATACCAGGACCCACAGAAGAAGAGACTAATAAATTCTACAGTGATTTGAACAGTAGTGGAACTAAGTGTGCCATACTCAGCCTGATACCAGAATACTCCAAGTCATTTGTCCCACGTCCTGTATTGGTAAACTTGCCTAAAACGATACCTGACTTATTATTTGACCCGGATTTGCAGCCATTGACATTTCCCGACCTGTTGGTTAAGTGTGAGGATCTATTGCAGAAAATAACTTATGATCCCATCCAGGTATGTAATGTTTAATTTCAGATTCAAACGATCAGATTTTTTCTCACAAAACTACAAGTGTATGTCTGACCATACAAATAATGTACCGGTATTCGATTTCGTTCACACCTAATCTGTCTGGCGACATTATCAATAATGTATCTAATCCTCCTAAATATATAAATGAAATGAATGTATGGGTATTGATATTTCATGCAGACATACAAAGACTGTGCACTTTTGATTATTTAAATTTAGGCTGCAGCTTTAGAAGAGACCACAAGATGCCAATCAAACAGCACATGGTACAGTCATCGAGCGGGAAGGGTGACAGCATCAATATTTAAACGGGCTGCCCGTACCAACCCAGACTGCCCTGCAATGTCATTGATTAAGCAGGTGTGCTACCCTGAGAAGATAAAGTTTAATTCTAAGGCCACGAGGTGAGACCATTTGAAATCTTACATGAATGATAATAAAATTAACGTGTTTCTAAGGATTGATGAATTGTATCCCATATATTCCACAAGTTCTTGTTTAATACACAATGTATTAGAGACATTTAGCAGCTCCATGTTTTAACAGACAAATACATGTAATATTTAACCTTAAATCATGCACCTGTGTAGAGAATCATGTCTAAATCAATAAAATCAAGTTAGCTAAAATATCAGATAGGATATATGTATTGATTCATGCAGATAAAACTTCGCCAATATTTGTCATTTGAGAATCGTAAGAAAAATTCAATGAAACATCACCAAATTAAGTTAAATTAAAATGCTATCTTCATCTCTTCCAGGTGGGGGTGTGAGCACGAGGAAACAGCAAGGCAACAGTTCATCAATCATGCTAAGCCCTTACACAAGGACTTCAGCGTGTTACAATCTGGATTTGTGATCAATCATGAGTTCCCATATATGGGTGCCTCACCTGACGGTGTCATTAGCTGCAATTGCTGTGGGAAGGGAGTGTTGGAGATCAAATGTCCATATTGTTCTCGCCATGGTACTTTGTCAGATGAAGCTGACAGGGACTCTAGCTGCTTAGTTCGAAATGCAAATGGTGAGATTATTGGATTAAAAACAGATCACCAGTACTACTTCCAGTTGCAACTCCAGATATTTTCATGTAAAGCTAGCTATGGAGACATAGTTGTGTGGACTGAAAAAGAATTTTATTATCAGAGATTGCTTCCAGACCTTAAATTTTATGAGGAAAACACTATCAAAGTCAAGCATGTGTACCTCACTTCGATAATGCCTGAATTATGCTGCAAATGGTTCACCAGAGACACCACTCAACAGTATTTATCAAATGATCTAAGCTTAACCCTTGATGTCATTTGCATGTGCAGGCAAGAAACTGGAAATGGCGAGATAATTATTTGCAAGAATAAAAATTGTGCGATATCAAAATTTCACTTAAAGTGCATGAAACTCACAACATCAAGGAAGTCGTGGGTTTGTCCAGAATGTAGAAAAGCAAAGAAAATCAACATATAATTTGAACAGAAAAGTGATTGCTAAATTGGAATTTTATTGTATTGGTTACAAGCGAATGTCAACTAATACTCATGTAAATACAGGGTGGGTCAAAAAGTCCACATTTTATATTACAGTAGCATCAAACTGCATACCTTTTTTGTAATTGTAGATATGAATATGAGAATTGATTTTCTGAATGTATTACTCCATGTTACAAAATTACAGTTCGTGCTGAAGAAAGATACATCCTTAAGTACCACGTAAACACATAAAATGTTAATACAGTTGGGGACAAAAATAAATGACAGGTCGATTTTCGATCACCATTTCCTAATTATGGTCGTCTGAAAGTCCATAATTTCCAATATTGTCTAGATACATATCCCTTAAAATTTGTATATTTCACATTTTGTATAATCTCATCCACTGATGTATGGCCTCTTGAAAATTCTCTTATTTTTAACATGGGAAATTCTCACTTCAGCAAATCCACCTGTCATTTATTTATGTCCCGAACTGTAAGTGTTTTATCATTAGAGGTATGTGAAAAATGTCAGCAGTAAAGTCTGAAAGTGGTGATGCAAATTAGGCATTGTAGATGCCCTCCACTAAATTGTAAATACATGTACCTCCAGCCATATTTAGCACAAATCAAACCTTTGACAAGTTACTGTTACTGTATATATTGTGCATATTAGAGTCTATGAACATTATATTCCCGTCTTGTAATAATTTATTGGAACCATGAAACGTTTGAAAAAATGATGAGGTTTTCATTGATTGATAAGAGGAATAATTAAGACCAGTGTACATGGTGTAGAAATGTCAATTTAAGGATTCTAAAATAAATCTCTCGACTTCATAGATCCAATGTTAGGAAGGACGTGAATTTATTTTCCAGGTTTGAATTAGTAAATATTCTGTATGAAGTGTAACCTCATCAGTTTATACTAGACACTGACTTTATACTAGACTGCAATGTATATTACGAATTGTGTAATTCAATCCGAAATACAGGGTGTTCAAAAAAAAACGCAACCCAAAGAAATCACTATATCTTGAAAAATACTGGTTCAATTATCTTCATATTTTCAGGAAATAAAGAAGAGACTGTGTATGTATAGCTGCTGTAAATGGTTAGTTGTAAAACATGATGCCTTGGACACCTACTCAAAAGACAGTAGTACTAGGAAAATACGAAAAACGCAATCAGGGGTGACTGCAATCTCAAAAAAATTAAATAACTTTCTAACCATAGTGTTTTGGCTCTTCAAATTTAGCACAAATCATCTTCATTCACTGTATGGTAAATCTGTAGAGTGAAATCAATATCACTTCTGGGACTTTACAGTCATGGTTGAAATGCTTTCAAATCGCAGTCAAACGCCCTGGTTCAGGGAGACTTAAGAAGGCATTTTGACCATGACTGTAAAGTCCCTGGAGTGATTTTGATGAAACTCCACAAATTCACCACACATTGAATGAGAATAATTTGTGCCAAATCTGAAGTGCCAAAACACCATGGTTAGAAAGTTATCTGGTTTTATTGCTGTGCCAGTCACCTCTGACTGCGTTTTCATGTTTTCCTAGAACAACTGTCATTTGAGCAGGTGTCCAAGGCATCATGTTTTACAACTTACTGACAACAGGAGCTTTACATACACAGTCTCTTCTTTCTTTTCCTGAAAAAATGAACATAATTGAATTAGTATTTTCCAAGATATAGGGATTTTCCATTCGCGTTTTTCGTATTTTGCTAGTACAACTGTCTTTTGAGCAAGTGTCCAAGACATCATGTTTTACAACTAACTAACAACTAGGGCTATACATACATAGTCTCTTCTTTCTTTCCTGAAAATATGAACATAATTGGATGAGTATTTTCCAAGATATAGCGATTTCTTTGGGTTGCGTTTTTTTTTGAACACCCTGTATAACATATTTTATTAAAATGGTACAACTGATTCACATGTATTTGACAGGGCACTGGAAACAAAAACCACCTTGTCTAGAGTAGTAAGCCCAGTTGTTTCATCTGTTTGAAGGAGTGATATTGGTATTTTTGCACTAAGCATTGTGTACTTGCTCCTGACTAAACCAATAACTCTCTCAACGTGTATTCGAACAGAGGCTAATCCTCTGGTAGATTCCACCTCGTACAAACTTAATTGCGATTTTCCTCTTGTGAAAGCTGGGATTTCTACTTTTGCACCATGAAGTCCAACAAGATCTTGTATGTCAAAACCACGGTCTGCAAGTATTAAGTCTCCTGGCTGAAGCTTCTCTAGAAGACCACAATTATCAGTTAAATGTTTGTCACTAACACGTCCTCCCCAACCTTTGGAAACAAAAGTCACAACGCCTTGGGGTGCAATTGCGATAAGATATTTGATTGTATTGTTCGATTTATAGTGACTATATGTTGTTGCTCGAGCATCAAGGTCCTTTGGCTTTTCAATGAAAATTTCAAAACAGTCTATGATACCAACACACTTACTAAATGCCCCTAAAAACGACCGTGGTAGTGTAGCCCGAAGATTCAATAAGTCATTCGGCCATTTAACAAGTACAGGTACAAGTCTTGCGTTGCAAACATCGATTACGTGAGAGAATATTCGTGAAACTGTAGATTGATCGATGTTAAAGCGGTATGCTAAATCGTGAGTGCCAAGATTTAGACGAAGTCTCATCAAGGTTAATATGAATTGGGAAGATTTACTCATGGTTGCTCTGGGGACCAGGTGTCCAATTATCATGTTAAGATGAGCCAAAAAGACTGCAAATGTTGGCAACCCGGTATAATATTTCAGTTTGTTTTCGTTATTTTTAAACGTTTCCTCGTTAATTTCTAGGTTTCGAATCTCTTGCTGTAAGTGGTTGTTTTCGGATTTGAGTGTCTCAAGTTCATTTCTTAATGTATTACAGAGTCTGCTCTTTTCCTTTAATTCCGTGTTTTCACGTTTTAGTTCCATCACTTCTCGCATAATATTATCCAACTCGGAACAAGAAAGGTCGGTCTGTGTACCAACATTCGTATCAGTGAACGTGTCGAATGTTTCACACTTAACAATATTCGTGACTCTGCATCTCTTTGAGGCATGACGTTCATATGCATGTAAGCTCTTTCGCTTCCTCTCGATCTCCTCGCTAGATTTGTACGAAAAGACAGAGGGAATGAAGTCGGGATGATCTTCAATATTTGACTTTTGTCCTGAAAATATGTGTTTGATAAATAAGTGGATTTGTATATACCCATGTCATGTATGCCATGGTCTCAATCATTTTTTTCTGTGTGAAATATCAATGTTAGAAAGGGATCTCAATTTTAAAAATTAAAACGGGGTGGAAACACTATGATTGATATTCGAGTGAAGCGCACATCAATATCCAAACAAATATTACAAAGGTTTATTTTAAGTTCTTAGTTTTCTCCATAAAAAGTACATGCAGAAATACCCGTGAAAATCAACGTGGCTCACCGACAGTCACATAATATTACTTACATAGGCCTACTTCCCTCGTGTTTAATGATAGCGGTATTAACACAATGCGTGGTATTTAAATGTGCATTATTTACTGATAACTTTATAATTAATAAAATTTTATTTTACTTATTATTTAGAAAACCAGGTCTGTTTCGATTACTACACTGTACCTGACAAGAAATGAGCGCTGCAAAGTCGATCGTGTTCTTTTGGTTCCCAGTTTTGCCTTTTTACAGCATTTATCCATAGCTTTCTTTTTACAGGTGACTTCTTGTCACTCGGAAAGCGATAAAACGTAATGCCGACTTGTTCTCTATTCGAACATTCAACAGCAACGCAGCATTTAGGCATACTCTTTTAATTTTTTCTCATCACTTCGTCGCCATTTTGAGCACTGGTTGCTTATGACGTTTTCTAGACGGCCAGCAATATTTTCTGGCCGGACAAAGGCATGACGTCACACTGATGCATAGGGTCAATAAATGGAGGAATTTGACAGCTGAAATAAGTTAAATATTACATGCAAATATTGCGATCAAAAACGAAAATGTCTTCATTCTGCCGATAAACCCAGACAATTGTGGATTCAACTACACGAAAAGAATGCTAAAATACCAAGGAATCTATTGAAGTAGGTATCTTAAGTGTAAGGGGCGTAGATAATTCTCCCAAGTTGTAATCCTACAGGCAAAAGATTGCCCTCAGTCCAGGACTATAGTCCTGGCACTGGATAGTAGCAACTTGCGATCGAGAGTCATTGCAGTCCTGAATTGAATTGACAGTCCAAGAAAGTTAGTCACACCATCTAGCCCTTTTAGGCTTTCTCTTAATTCACAACATTAACTAAAAACTAAGACAAAGATGACCTGTGTGAATTAGAAGATGTCAATTATAAAGCACACTTGATCTAAATCAAAGGAAAAAAACAGAGGGGGAGAAACACCAGGGTTCAAAGATGACATACGCTTATAATGAAAATCTGTATTGAGATGACATCTTCGCTGATTGGTCAAAAGTCGACAAACAAATGACGTCATCAATGGCGGTTTCAAAATTTTCGTAATACGCTTCGAATAATATTATGTTAATTTCTGGCGTGTTAACCAATATCATAGCTTCTCATTTCACATCAAGATAAAGAAAGGTGTATGGAATATGCCTATCAATTAAAACATCACATCGAATTGTAGTATTTGATAACTAGCCGATGAAAATTCGAACGAAGGTGGTAAGCAAGAGAGGTAATTATGTCTGTCATCTTTCAACTGGGGCTTTCCCTTAGTATGTATCCAACAGACTGACTAGAAGTCAGTCTGTTATGATGCACTACTTTCCTGTGGAAATTGCAGTGAAATCTTTTGCATAAAATTATCAATTAGAGGAACCATTTCTTCAATAATATAAACATTACAAAATTTCAATGAAATAGTAAGGTACAATTGAAAGCAATAAAAAGTAAAACAGCATATTGTCAAGTGGAAATAAAGCTAGTTGAAAAACAAATGTGCAAATTAATTTTGCCAATCGGCCATTTTGAATAGCACTTCCTATGTAAACAAATATTTCATACTACCAAACTTTAACATAGGTGCCTTATAGTCTGAATATAATTCAGACTAAATAGGATATAGTCTAGGCTTTCCCTCCTCTTGCAAAAAAAAGACAAAATGAAGAAAATATTGCAGTTACTTTGATATTGCTAAAATACACTACAGTGGAACAAAAAGTACGTACATGATCATATGAAATTATCACTGATGTATCTCCGTATTCTTCCTTGGTATAACAGAAGTACTTTGGGGTCATTTTGATGGTTTTTATAACTTTTCACCTCAAAGAGAGTTCAAAAGTTTTCCAGGTCAAACTTTTGATGTCGGAGTGAATAAAAGTGTATCAAATATCGTCGAAAGAAAACTTCAACAATAATATATCAATACTAATAGTACAGATAAATACTAACACAGAGATAAATGCGATAAGTATTGGAGTTTGTACAAATACAATAATTTGTTCAGAGGAATAGATTTGTTCCGTAAATATAGGTCACCGGAAGTTCAATTTTCGAAAGTAAAATTTTTAACATTTTGTAAACTTTCATTGATTTCAGTGAAATGAGTGGGGAAAACACCCACGTGTTATTATCTGTAGAAGCGGAGGGATATGTTCAAGCTTTAGAAGTAATAGACTTGAAGGAAGTTGGTAGTCCGAGGTAAAGAATAACTATTAGATTCTGAATAATTTTTCACTTATTTTTTAGAAAATGTTTCCATAGTAACTTGACAACAGTTTTGATATGGACTTGTATAAAGTGTTAATTTGTCATGTTGCTAACTAGCCTAGTCCAGTATAGACTAATACAAACGATGCTTAGACAGTTAGAGGAGTTATATTGGCAGGGAGAATCTCCATCCACCTCAATTTTAGAGAGCTGCAAGGATTTCAACAAGGAATATGAAAAAAGATCGCTTAAAACATTATAATGTATTTTTGATCAGTTCACTGGATCAGGAAAGTCTGTTGTCTGTTGCTATGCAGCCGCATGGCAAGCACATGGATATTTTTTTTATTGTCAATACCTACTGCTATCGGCTAATTCTGACGCATGTGCATTGGTTGACAAATTGGTTATCATGATATTACCAGAGATGAATTTGATGCTACAAGGCAGTATAGTTGAATATCAAGATAAGTTAAAGAATACAGACTTAGGCACGGGTACCTCCATTTCTATTTGCTTATTTCAAATACTGTACATGTATTTGTATTTAATATGGCGAGTGTTTTTTGGCAAATTAAAAAATCCCCAAATTAAAGACGAATACATGGAGTTTAATGTTGAATAATCTATGAGCTAGAAAATAGTAATATCTAGTCACCATTTATACCCAGATTTACCTATGATATATGACTATAGGAGAAGTTTTTGTTCAATGACTGTTCTCTGATTTCAGGTGGAGTAGACAACATGAGTATATTGAGAAACTGAACATGCAAGCAGTTGTTAGTGCCTCTGCCCAGGAGGAAGAGTTTGTCAAGGAATATTTGATTAGCTTCCAGAAGGTATTTAACAGTTCATCCAATCTGGATATAACATTATAGTCAAGAGGCAAATCGTTGAAGATAAGTGGCGCAAAAATCAATTTAAGCTAATTTTGGAAAAAAGGGTACAGTGGACAAAGTTGTCTCCCACTCAACTATTTGCTTAGCATTAACTTCTGAACATCTGTACAGTATATTGATATTTCCCTAATCAAATTATTCTATTTTGGGAATACTTGTGCCTTGTGGTGCAGTAAATAGTTTTAGAGTCACATTAATGATGCAATGGGTGCCTCAAATAATTGTGCCAACTGCAGCGTCAGTAATCCTGGCTTGCTATAAGTCTGTTTTAAGCCAATATGGTGAACATAATTATAACTAATTTTGATGTTTGCACAAGAAAATATAAAATATTATGGAAGTGTAATGCTGGGAAGTGTTTCTTTATGTTTTAGATTACAGTTCTCATCTATGAGTTACTGGTGATTGAGGCTTGGAAGCAGAACATCTTTACACAGATGATTCAAACAAAGTTTGAGCCCAAGACAACATTTCCTGTTTACATGGCAGTAAGTTAGTTTTCCACAAATTGGATTCAACCATTTAAAGAAACCATGCAAGATTCAATTATCATTAAATTTAATAATTTATTCTATAAAAATTAGCTTAAATTTTTCATTTGTGGTTCCAGTTGTACCATGAAGCCACTGTTGCTAACCTTCTAGAGACCATGCTTTACCATAGTGAATGCTGCGAATCAGCAGAAGACAATCTCCTTGATGTTACAGACTACTGCTTCAGAAAACTCACCCATCTCATTGCAGAGTGAGTAGCAATTTAATGTCATTACATATTCTGTATAAGGCCCATAATAGCCTATGTACTCAAGGTAGCGTATATACTGTATAAGGCCTATAACAGCATATACATGTATACTGTACTCACCCATCTCATTGCAGACTGATTAGCAATTTAATGTCATTACATCGATATTTGATCACAATGCATGTGTCATCTCCATAGGGGTGGGGTTTGGTTCTCATTTAAAGTTGATTTTGCCTTAATCATTGTTTACTTTTCTGAATATTTATGTGATATTCAATCTATTTTTACTATTTATGATTAATCTGTTCATTACATGTATGTTTACAGTAACTATCTGTAAATATATATGATGCTTGCGATTGTTTCAGGCAGGAGGAAAAAGAAGATGAAGAAGAAGATGGTGAGAAACAATCTGACTCCAATATGACAAATATGATGGTAAGTTTTGGTATAATCAATGATCGATTAAATCAATAGTTCTTATATTTTAATTCTACAGATACATCGCATGTTTGAGATTCATAAAGTACAATTGTAAAACATTTGCACAACTGTATGTGATAACATAGCAGGAAAATGTGATGTATTAGACCACTGCAGGAAGCTCTTTTTGTATACATGAACCTTTTTAGTAAAAAAAATAATCATGTAATCATTTTTGAATATTTTCTAAATCATTACTGGGCTAATACAATACATCGTTACTTGGCCAATACAATACATCATGACTTGGCCAATGCAATACATCATAACTTGGCCAATACAATACATCATTACTTGGTCAATGCAATACATCATGACCTGGCCAGTACAATACATAATTACTTGGCCAATACAATACTTCATGAGTTGGCCGCTACAATACATCATTACTTGGCCAATACAATAAATCATTAGTTGGCCAATGCTGTAACCCAAGAGATAATCTCAGTAGTTGAACTGTTTCTGATCTTTTCAAGAAATACAATGGTATAGTTAACATAAATGTACTAAATTGATAAATACAACTGCAGGAGCTCCAGAAGCAGAAACGAGACATGGAATTTGACATCTGCATCAAAGCGGTGTCCATATTACGATACATCACTGATCACATGTCAAGGTAACTGACAGTTTCTTACAAAAATTTATATATTTATATTCTAAGTGTCTCATTCATTTATAAGTTGTCGTCTCATATTTAATTTAAAGTATTGTTCTATCCATTGGATTCTTAATTTATTCTATAACAAGAATAATGATTTTAACTATTTATTTAGACTTCGGCTTTTATCTCATCAATGTAAATGAAATTAAACATAACCTAAAATACAATGTAATACCAATCAATGTATAATTTTCTTTTCTGTTTATTTCAGTTTGTCGTTGAGTATTATGAGTCGATTGTTGAACACCCATGATGCACCTGTCCTCCTTGTAAGCTTAATCGATAATCCCCCATGGACCAGACGCAAACAAGGTGAGAAATACACTTTGTGTTTTGTGTTTATTTGTGTAATTCCCATCACAATACCCAAATACATATATTCAACGTATGACATGAATGATATATTACTGGTGTCAAGGTATCATGATATTGTCATACCTCAATGTTTTGTTTTCAAGAAGAACAACATCCATAATCGGGATATACTACTTATCTTTTATGGCTTTTAGTCTCCTTAGAAACATGCTTAATGTAATATTTGAATCACACATTTCATATTTTGATCACTAGATTTGGCATTCAGGCATAAGTGTCATCTGTATTACATTAATTTCATGAAACAAGTAAAAAACTAATTTCCTGTTAAACCCATCCTGTCCCTAAATAGAAAATTTCAATTCCTTCCCATATATTACTGTTTATATATATTTTGTATTTGTTTTTCTGTATTTGATGCTTAAAGTGTTTTAGTTCTTTATGGTTTGGGCTTATTTAATACAGGTTCACCATATTCTAATGTCAAAATCTTCATATCTTGATCTGATAGTGACTCAACAGTAAAATTCCTAGTGTTGTTTTATCTCAAACTGCTCAATTGCAAAATGTGTACAGAAACAATTTATTTTGAATAAGCATTTTTAAGAGAACTTACCTCAGTGTGTTTAATGAGGTGATTTCTACCATATTTACACCACAGTATGTTTTATTACTCCTAACAATGATCAGGCATCTTCAAACGTTTTATTAAATCTTGATACAAACATGAAATCTAGACTGATTACATATAAATAAAAATCACCCTTGAAAGTTGTATTGTTGAGACATTATACTGGAGGGATTGTCTCAAAATGTCTGTCAAATTATATCATTCTTTTTGTGGTAAAGGATTGGGTAAAGCTTAATAAAATCATTTGAATTTGTAATAAAGAACGTCATGTAAATAAATGCTAAAACCATTCTTTTTATGAAATGATGAGTGAGACAACCTATAGCTACAAAATTACATTATTCTCTAATTTCTATATTTTGACCCTGCCCCTGAGGACACGTGTGTTTAATCTGGCTCTTGTTCAACTATATGTACGCACAGCACAAGTGCCATAATGATATAATAGGGTGAAGGCCAATTGTATCAAACACACAGATGGACAAGACATAATTTAAATGTTCAACTAGAAAATGAATCACCAGTATCACAAACATTGACCTATCATACCAAGAAACAATGTCTAACATCCCCATTCACCCATCATTCAGTTTAAACACCTTTATCAATTTGATTCATGCAGAGATAAGATAAAAAAAAATATTGCAATGGTTTGATTTTTTGGCTTCATCACCTACTGTTATAAAGGTCATTCAAGGTGTTTAACTGAGGAGAAGTATAATATCATTCCAATAAGTCCTGCCATCTTTTGATAGATCAGAAAAATGATGATATATTGTCAAAATTGATGATGTCATTGGTTGTAGGCCCAGGGTTGTAGGTAGAAATTTGGTATGACCATGCAAAAACAAGATGAACTTATTATTAATTTTGAAAAGAACAACCTATGACATTATCAATCTAGCCAATATATCAAAGTTTCTCAGATTATCAAAAAGTGGTAGGATTTATCTATAAATAAATATCTATTATAGCCCTACATGTAATCCTGATCTCAATATGAATGCCTTCAATAGACTTTTATCCTGGAAAGTGTTCAATATTTCTTTTGTTTGCAATCGTCAAAAGTTGGAAAGTGTGGTTTAAAGTAGGTCAGATATCTGGGCTCACAAGAAAATCATGTTGAGGGATTGTGCTGTTAGATAGTACAATGTTAATTTATAACTATATAAAGCAATAACATAGCAAAGACATTGTGATATTTAAATTATATAATTTAATATTTTCAGATGGTGAGATAGAAAAGTACATAGATAACAAATGGGTGACAGTAACATATGAAGACAGTCTAAAACTAACAAAGACAGAAGGCCAGGTCAGTATACTGTATGTTATAAGATGAGATTGGCATATGTATGTGTTGATAAAGAATATGAAATTGGATGTGAAGTATTATATTGTGTATTATTCACTTAAACAACTATGTTTATTATTTAATGAAGAACTAAGAAAAGAATTGATATGCAAATGTGTATTAAAAATTATGTAATTAACACAGGGGCGTTGCCAATTTTCAGTCAGAGAGGGGGGTGCGATCGCCAAAATAATTTCGGTTTTCAGTCAGTGGGGTGTGATTGTGGCATAAAAAATAAAGATTTATCTTGAATTTTACAAAAATTGATGCAACTTCCTTCAAAATTGATTCAGATTGGCAGGTGTTCACATTTCAAGGTTTCCCAATATTTTGAGCCAATGGTACTGAGACTGAGAAAAAGTGTTCAAATTAGAGAGATGTTCTGATATACATAACACTACTGTACAGGTTTCATTGTACATAGAATTACTGAGTATTACATACTGCTGTTTGTACATTATAGGTTTGGATTGCCTTGTTCCACTTGTTGATGGAAGAAGAGTGTCAAAGGAATACAAACTGAATTATTGCACACTGCTGTTTGTACATTATAGGTTTGGATTGCTCTGTTCCACTTGTTGATGGAAGAAGAGTGTCAAAGGAAATACAAACTGAATTATTACATACTGCTGTTTGTACATTATAGGTTTGGATTGCCCTGTTTCACTTGTTGATGGAAGAAGAGTGTCAAAGGAAATACAAACTGAATTATTACACATTGCTGTTTGTACATTATAGGTTTGGATTGCCCTGTTTCACTTGTTGATAATAGAAGAGTGTCAAAGGAAATACAAACTGAATTATTGCACACTGCTGTTTGTACATTATAGGTTTGGATTGCCCTGTTTCACTTGTTGATGGAAGAAGAGTGTCAAAGGAAATACAAACTGAATTATTACATACTGCTGTTTGTACATTATAGGTTTGGATTGCCCTGTTCCACTTGTTGATGGAAGAAGAGTGTCAAAGGAAATACGAACTGAATTATTACATACTGCTGTTTATACATTATAGGTTTGGATTGCCTTGTTCCACTTGTTGATGGAAGAAGAGTGTCAAAGGAAATACGAACTGAATTATTACACACTGCTGTTTATACATTATAGGTTTGGATTGCCTTGTTCCATTTGTTGATGGAAGAAGAGTGTCAAAGGAAATACAAACTGAATTATTACATACTGCTGTTTGTACATTATAGGTTTGGATTGCTCTGTTCCATTTGTTGATGGAAGAAGAGTGTCAAAGGAAATACGAACTGAATTATTACACACTGCTGTTTATACATTATAGGTTTGGATTGCCCTGTTCCACTTGTTGATGGAAGAAGAGTGTCAAAGGAAATACAAACTGAATTATTACACACTGCTGTTTATACATTATAGGTTTGGATTGCCTTGTTCCACTTGTTGATGGAAGAAGAGTGTCAAAGGAAATACAAACTGAATTATTACATACTGCTGTTTGTACATTATAGGTTTGGATTGCCCTGTTCCACTTGTTGATGGAAGAAGAGTGTCAAAGGAAATACAAACTGAATTATTACACACTGCTGTTTATACATTATAGGTTTGGATTGCCCTGTTCCACTTGTTGATGGAAGAAGAGTGTCAAAGGAAATACAAACTGAATTATTACATACTGCTGTTTATACATTATAGGTTTGGATTGCCCTGTTCCACTTGTTGATGGAAGAAGAGTGTCAAAGGAAATACAAACTGAATTATTACACACTGCTGTTTATACATTATAGGTTTGGATTGCTCTGTTCCACTTGTTGATGGAAGAAGAGTGTCAAAGGAAATACGAACTGAATTATTACACTCTGATGTTTATACATTATAGGTTTGGATTGCCTTGTTCCACTTGTTGATGGAAGAAGAGTGTCAAAGGAAATACGAACTGAATTATTACACTCTGATGTTTATACATTATAGGTTTGGATTGCCTTGTTCCACTTGTTGATGGAAGAAGAGTGTCAAAGGAAATACAAACTGAATTATTGCACACTGCTGTTTGTACATTATAGGTTTGGATTGCCCTGTTCCACTTGTTGATGGAAGAAGAGTGTCAAAGGAAATACAAACTGAATTATTGCACACTGCTGTTTGTACATTATAGGTTTGGATTGCCTTGTTCCACTTGTTGATGGAAGAAGAGTGTCAAAGGAAATACAAACTGAATTATTACATACTGCTGTTTATACATTATAGGTATGGATTGCTCTGTTCCACTTGTTGATGGAAGAAGAGTGTCAAAGGAAATACAAACTGAATTATTACACATTGCTGTTTGTACATTATAGGTTTGGATTGCCCTGTTTCACTTGTTGATAATAGAAGAGTGTCAAAGGAAATACAAACTGAATTATTGCACACTGCTGTTTGTACATTATAGGTTTGGATTGCCTTGTTCCACTTGTTGATGGAAGAAGAGTGTCAAAGGAAATACAAACTGAATTATTACACACTGCTGTTTATACATTATAGGTTTGGATTGCTCTGTTCCACTTGTTGATGGAAGAAGAGTGTCAAAGGAAATACGAACTGAATTATTACATACTGCTGTTTGTACATTATAGGTTTGGATTGCTCTGTTCCACTTGTTGATGGAAGAAGAGTGTCAAAGGAAATACAAACTGAATTATTGCACACTGCTGTTTGTACATTATAGGTTTGGATTGCCTTGTTCCACTTGTTGATGGAAGAAGAGTGTCAAAGGAAATACAAACTGAATTATTACACACTGCTGTTTATACATTATAGGTTTGGATTGCTCTGTTCCACTTGTTGATGGAAGAAGAGTGTCAAAGGAAATACAAACTGAATTATTACACACTGCTGTTTGTACATTATAGGTTTGGATTGCCCTGTTCCACTTGTTGATGGAAGAAGAGTGTCAAAGGAAATACAAACTGAATTATTACACATTGATGTTTATACATTATAGGTTTCGATTGGCCTGTTCCACTTGTTGATGGAAGAAGAGTGTCAAGGAAATACGAACTGAATTATTGCACACTGCTGTTTGTACATTATAGGTTTGGATTGCCTTGTTCCACTTGTTGATGGAAGAAGAGTGTCAAAGGAAATACAAACTGAATTATTACACACTGCTGTTTATACATTATAGGTTTGGATTGCCCTGTTCCACTTGTTGATGGAAGAAGAGTGTCAAAGGAAATACAAACTGAATTATTACATACTGCTGTTTATACATTATAGGTTTGGATTGCTCTGTTCCACTTGTTGATGGAAGAAGAGTGTCAAAGGAAATACAAACTGAATTATTGCACACTGCTGTTTGTACATTATAGGTTTGGATTGCTCTGTTCCACTTGTTGCTGGAAGAAGAGTGTCAAAGGAAATACGAACTGAATTATTACACACTGCTGTTTATACATTATAGGTTTGGATTGCCCTGTTCCACTTGTTGATGGAAGAAGAGTGTCAAAGGAAATACGAACTGAATTATTACATACTGCTGTTTATACATTATAGGTTTGGATTGCCCTGTTCCATTTGTTGATGGAAGAAGAGTGTCAAAGGAAATACAAACTGAATTATTACATACTGCTGTTTATACATTATAGGTTTGGATTGCCTTGTTCCACTTGTTGATGGAAGAAGAGTGTCAAAGGAAATACAAACTGAATTATTACACACTGCTGTTTGTACATTATAGGTTTGGATTGCTCTGTTCCACTTGTTGATGGAAGAAGAGTGTCAAAGGAAATATGAACTGAATTATTACATACTGCTGTTTATACATTATAGGTTTGGATTGCCCTGTTCCACTTGTTGATGGAAGAAGAGTGTCAAAGGAAATACAAACTGAATTATTACACACTGCTGTTTGTACATTATAGGTTTGGATTGCTCTGTTCCACTTGTTGATGGAAGAAGAGTGTCAAAGGAAATACGAACTGAATTATTACACACTGCTGTTTATACATTATAGGTTTGGATTGCTCTGTTCCACTTGTTGATGGAAGAAGAGTGTCAAAGGAAATACGAACTGAATTATTACACACTGCTGTTTATACATTATAGGTTTGGATTGCCCTGTTTCACTTGTTGATGGAAGAAGAGTGTCAAAGGAAATACAAACTGAATTATTACATACTGCTGTTTATACATTATAGGTTTGGATTGCCCTGTTTCACTTGTTGATAATAGAAGAGTGTCAAAGGAAATACAAACTGAATTATTACACACTGCTGTTTATACATTATAGGTTTGGATTGCCTTGTTCCATTTGTTGATGGAAGAAGAGTGTCAAAGGAAATACAAACTGAATTATTACATACTGCTGTTTGTACATTATAGGTTTGGATTGCCTTGTTCCATTTGTTGATGGAAGAAGAGTGTCAAAGGAAATACAAACTGAATTATTACATACTGCTGTTTGTACATTATAGGTTTGGATTGCTCTGTTCCACTTGTTGATGGAAGAAGAGTGTCAAAGGAAATACAAACTGAATTATTACACACTGCTGTTTATACATTATAGGTTTGGATTGCCCTGTTCCACTTGTTGATGGAAGAAGAGTGTCAAAGGAAATACAAACTGAATTATTTCATACTGCTGTTTCTACATTATAGGTTTGGATTGCTCTGTTCCACTTGTTGATGGAAGAAGAGTGTCAAAGGAAATACAAACTGAATTATTACATACTGCTGTTTATACATTATAGGTTTGGATTGCCCTGTTCCACTTGTTGATAATAGAAGAGTGTCAAAGGAAATACAAACTGAATTATTACACACTGCTGTTTATACATTATAGGTTTGGATTGCCTTGTCCCACTTGTTGATGGAAGAAGAGTGTCAAAGGAAATACAAACTTAATTATTACATACTGCTGTTTATACATTATAGGTTTGGATTGCCCTGTTCCACTTGTTGATAATAGAAGAGTGTCAAAGGAAATACAAACTGAATTATTACACACTGCTGTTTATACATTATAGGTTTGGATTGCCTTGTTCCATTTGTTGATGGAAGAAGAGTGTCAAAGGAAATACAAACTGAATTATTACATACTGCTGTTTGTACATTATAGGTTTGGATTGCCTTGTTCCATTTGTTGATGGAAGAAGAGTGTCAAAGGAAATACAAACTGAATTATTACATACTGCTGTTTGTACATTATAGGTTTGGATTGCTCTGTTCCACTTGTTGATGGAAGAAGAGTGTCAAAGGAAATACAAACTGAATTATTACACACTGCTGTTTATACATTATAGGTTTGGATTGCCTTGTTCCATTTGTTGATGGAAGAAGAGTGTCAAAGGAAATACAAACTGAATTATTACATACTGCTGTTTGTACATTATAGGTTTGGATTGCCTTGTTCCATTTGTTGATGGAAGAAGAGTGTCAAAGGAAATACAAACTGAATTATTACATACTGCTGTTTGTACATTATAGGTTTGGATTGCTCTGTTCCACTTGTTGATGGAAGAAGAGTGTCAAAGGAAATACAAACTGAATTATTACACACTGCTGTTTATACATTATAGGTTTGGATTGCCCTGTTCCACTTGTTGATGGAAGAAGAGTGTCAAAGGAAATACAAACTGAATTATTACATACTGCTGTTTATACATTATAGGTTTGGATTGCTCTGTTCCACTTGTTGATGGAAGAAGAGTGTCAAAGGAAATACAAACTGAATTATTACATACTGCTGTTTGTACATTATAGGTTTGGATTGCCCTGTTTCACTTGTTGATAATAGAAGAGTGTCAAAGGAAATACAAACTGAATTTATTGCACACTGCTGTTTGTACATTATAGGTTTGGATTGCCCTGTTTCACTTGTTGATGGAAGAAGAGTGTCAAAGGAAATACAAACTGAATTATTACATACTGCTGTTTGTACATTATAGGTTTGGATTGCTCTGTTCCACTTGTTGATGGAAGAAGAGTGTCAAAGGAAATACGAACTGAATTATTACACGCTGATGTTTGTACATTATAGGTTTGGATTGCCTTGTTCCATTTGTTGATGGAAGAAGAGTGTCAAAGGAAATACGAACTGAATTATTACATACTGCTGTTTGTACATTATAGGTTTGGATTGCCCTGTTCCACTTGTTGATGGAAGAAGAGTGTCAAAGGAAATACAAACTGAATTATTACATACTGCTGTTTGTACATTATAGGTTTGGATTGCTCTGTTCCACTTGTTGATGGAAGAAGAGTGTCAAAGGAAATACGAACTGAATTATTACACGCTGATGTTTGTACATTATAGGTTTGGATTGCCTTGTTCCATTTGTTGATGGAAGAAGAGTGTCAAAGGAAATATGAACTGAATTATTACATACTGCTGTTTATACATTATAGGTTTGGATTGCTCTGTTCCACTTGTTGATGGAAGAAGAGTGTCAAAGGAAATACGAACTGAATTATTACATACTGCTGTTTGTACATTATAGGTTTGGATTGCCTTGTTCCACTTGTTGATGGAAGAAGAGTGTCAAAGGAAATACAAACTGAATTATTACATACTGCTGTTTATACATTATAGGTTTGGATTGCTCTGTTCCACTTGTTGATGGAAGAAGAATGTCAAAGGAAATACGAACTGAATTATTACATACTGCTGTTTATACATTATAGGTTTGGATTGCCTTGTTCCACTTGTTGATGGAAGAAGAGTGTCAAAGGAAATACGAACTGAATTATTACATACTGCTGTTTATACATTATAGGTTTGGATTGCTCTGTTCCACTTGTTGATGGAAGAAGAATGTCAAAGGAAATATGAACTGAATTATTACATACTGCTGTTTATACATTATAGGTTTGGATTGCTCTGTTCCACTTGTTGATGGAAGAAGAATGTCAAAGGAAATACGAACTGAATTATTACATACTGCTGTTTATACATTATAGGTTTGGATTGCTCTGTTCCACTTGTTGATGGAAGAAGAGTGTCAAAGGAAATACGAACTGAATTATTACATACGGCTGTTTATACATTATAGGTTTGGATTGCTCTGTTCCACTTGTTTATGGAAGAAGAGTGTCAAAGGAAATACGAACTGAATTATTACATACTGCTGTTTATACATTATAGGTTTGGATTGCTCTGTTCCACTTGTTGATGGAAGAAGAGTGTCAAAGGAAATACGAACTGAATTATTACATGCTGCTGTTTGTACATTATAGGTTTGGATTGCTCTGTTCCACTTGTTGATGGAAGAAGAGTGTCAAAGGAAATACAAACTGAATTATTACACTCTGCTGATTATACATTATAGGTTTGGATTGCCCTCTTCCACTTGTTGATGGAAGAAGAGTGTCAAAGGAAATACAAACTGAATTATTACACACTGCTGTTTGTACATTATAGGTTTGGATTGCTCTGTTCCATTTGTTGATGGAAGAAGAGTGCAAAGGAAATACAAACTGAATTATTACACGCTGGTGTTTGTACATTATAGGTTTGGATTGCTCTGTTCCACTTGTTGATGGAAGAAGAGTGTCAAAGGAAATACAAACTGAATTATTACACACTGATGTTTGTACATTATAGGTTTGGATTGCCCTGTTCCATTTGTTGATGGAAGAAGAGTGTCAAAGGAAATACGAACTGAATTATTACACGCTGATGTTTATACATTATAGGTTTGGATTGCCTTGTTCCATTTGTTGATGGAAGAAGAGTGTCAAAGGAAATACAAACTGAATTATTACATACTGCTGTTTATACATTATAGGTTTGGATTGCCTTGTTCCATTTGTTGATGGAAGAAGAGTGTCAAAGGAAATACAAACTGAATTATTACACACTGCTGTTTGTACATTATAGGTTTGGATTGCTCTGTTCCACTTGTTGATGGAAGAAGAGTGTCAAAGGAAATACAAACTGAATTATTACACACTGCTGTTTGTACATTATAGGTTTGGATTGCCCTGTTCCACTTGTTGATGGAAGAAGAGTGTCAAAGGAAATACGAACTGAATTATTACATACTGCTGTTTATACATTATAGGTTTGGATTGCCCTGTTCCATTTGTTGATGGAAGAAGAGTGTCAAAGGAAATACAAACTGAATTATTACACACTGCTGTTTGTACATTATAGGTTTGGATTGCCCTGTTCCACTTGTTGATGGAAGAAGAGTGTCAAAGGAAATACGAACTGAATTATTACATACTGCTGTTTGTACATTATAGGTTTGGATTGCTCTGTTCCACTTGTTGATGGAAGAAGAGTGTCAAAGGAAATACAAACTGAATTATTACACACTGCTGTTTGTACATTATAGGTTTGGATTGCCCTGTTCCACTTGTTGATGGAAGAAGAGTGTCAAAGGAAATACAAACTGAATTATTACATACTGCTGTTTATACATTATAGGTTTGGATTGCCTTGTTCCACTTGTTGATGGAAGAAGAGTGTCAAAGGAAATACAAACTGAATTATTACATACTGCTGTTTATACATTATAGGTTTGGATTGCTCTGTTCCATTTGTTGATGGAAGAAGAGTGTCAAAGGAAATACGAATTGAATTATTACATACTGCTGTTTGTACATTATAGGTTTGGATTGCTCTGTTCCACTTGTTGATGGAAGAAGAGTGTCAAAGGAAATACAAACTGAATTATTACATACTGCTGTTTGTACATTAAAGGTTTTGATTGCTCTGTTCCATTTGTTGATGGAAGAAGAGTGTCAAAGGAAATACGAACTGAATTATTACACGCTGATGTTTGTACATTATAGGTTTGGATTGCCTTGTTCCACTTGTTGATGGAAGAAGAGTGTCAAAGGAAATACAAACTGAATTATTACATACTGCTGTTTGTACATTATAGGTTTGGATTGCCTTGTTCCACTTGTTGATGGAAGAAGAGTGTCAAAGGAAATACAAACTGAATTATTACATACTGCTGTTTGTACATTATAGGTTTGGATTGCCTTGTTCCACTTGTTGATGGAAGAAGAGTGTCAAAGGAAATACGAACTGAATTATTGCACACTGCTGTTTGTACATTATAGGTTTGGATTGCCTTGTTCCACTTGTTGATGGAAGAAGAGTGTCTAAGGAAATATGAACTGAATTATTACATACTGCTGTTTGTACATTATAGGTTTGGATTGCCTTGTTCCACTTGTTGATGGAAGAAGAGTGTCAAAGGAAATACGAACTGAATTATTGCACACTGCTGTTTATACATTATAGGTTTGGATTGCCCTGTTTCACTTGTTGATGGAAGAAGAGTGTCAAAGGAAATACAAACTGAATTATTACACACTGCTGTTTATACATTATAGGTTTGGATTGCTCTGTTCCACTTGTTGATGGAAGAAGAGTGTCAAAGGAAATACAAACTGAATTATTACATACTGCTGTTTATACATTATAGGTTTGGATTGCTCTGTTCCACTTGTTGATGGAAGAAGAGTGTCAAAGGAAATACAAACTGAATTATTACACACTGCTGTTTATACATTATAGGTTTGGATTGCCTTGTTCCATTTGTTGATGGAAGAAGAGTGTCAAAGGAAATACAAACTGAATTATTACATACTGCTGTTTATACATTATAGGTTTGGATTGCTCTGTTCCACTTGTTGATGGAAGAAGAGTGTCAAAGGAAATATGAACTGAATTATTACATACTGCTGTTTATACATTATAGGTTTGGATTGCCCTGTTCCACTTGTTGATGGAAGAAGAGTGTCAAAGGAAATACAAACTGAATTATTACATACTGCTGTTTGTACATTATAGGTTTGGATTGCCCTGTTCCACTTGTTGATGGAAGAAGAGTGTCAAAGGAAATACAAACTGAATTATTACACACTGCTGTTTGTACATTATAGGTTTGGATTGCTCTGTTCCACTTGTTGATGGAAGAAGAGTGTCAAAGGAAATACAAACTGAATTATTACACACTGCTGTTTATACATTATAGGTTTGGATTGCTCTGTTCCACTTGTTGATGGAAGAAGAGTGCCAAAGGAAATACGAACTGACATCATTCAGGAAAAATATCATCATGAAAGTAAGTTTCAAATATTTTTTAAAAGAATACAGTAGAATTTTCGTATTTCACATCTACACCTTGAGTGTGAGTCCTTTGAACTAGCTTAACCCAGGGTAGTAACAGAATGTGATTACCATAAATAAACCTATTTTTATCACATTTTTTGTGTGCTATTTGTCATTGTCTTATATTGATGGGCATACACGCGTGTCCTTGCGCGCATATATGCATCTGTGCGGGTGGGTGCCAAATAAATCTTGTCAGACTGGTGCAGACTAGCGCCAAAACCTGATGACATAGTTGAATAACGTACTTGATGGCCATTTTACACTTTTCAATAAAAAATGCAATATTTGTAAGTGTCTGTCTTGTTGTTTAGCCTACATGTTTTATGTATTATCAGGAATAAAATGTTATGTATTATTGCAAGTTGTAACATACAGTACCTTGTGTTGTAGCTGAGAAGTCACCTGACTGAGGTGCTAGTAGATCAGATGCCAGTGTTAGGTGGTATGCTGAGATACCTTGAACATCTCTCTATGATGGACCCACCACCCGTCAAGAAAAATCTTGTCTTAGAACAGGTAATGGAATTCATTCAGGCATTATGCAACCACATGCTGCAAGTTGAAATAACCTTGCACCTACTTGAAATCTACATTGCACCCACATAAAAGTTACCTTGCACCAAGTAGTTGGGTTGCAATCATCTGAGAATTGCAAAACTGCAAAATCATGAAACTTTGGGATATATTTCTAACATTGACACATTTGTTTAGGAAAGCTTGTTCACCAGAGCTGATTATATCAGAATTTAATATTTAAATGTTTAGAAGATTGTTCTTGTTGCAGGTACCACAAATAAGGGATTCTATTTTGAAAGAATGTGAAGGAAAATGGAAATCCATTACAAAGCAACAATGTAAAACCTTCTTTAACCCTCCACAATCAGTCGTAAGGGAACAAGCCAAAAGGTAAGCTTATGTTATGCAAACTTAAAAGATACTCATCATAATTGTATTGGACATTTGAGACTTTGTGATTAGATGCTTATAGACCTTCTTAAGTTTAATTATGAAACTGACTTATTCTGCGAGGTCATAGAACAAGGAGGCGAATGTCTACCATGGAGTTAATCACTAGCCCCTCAATGCAGACATTTTTTCAATAATTACTACCAACATAAATTACATTGATCAATGTACTCTTTTATCTCAATTTGTTTTAAATTACCAACAAATTACAACATACAATCATTCTTTTCTTTATAATACATATAAATCATAGACTTGGTGAAAATTGAAATGGTGCATTCAAAAGATGGTGCTGATGACAAATGTGATTGGATTTTGCATCATTAATGTATTATATGAATTTTATCAAATGAGTATATGGCAGTATTACTGGGATAGCATTGATATTTTTGTTACCAGTATAATATTTCAATATTAATTTTAATACCAGTATAATATTTCAATATTATTTTTTTTATACCAGTATAATATTTCAATATTAATTTTTGAAACCAGTATAATATCTCAATATAAATTTTAATACCAGTATAATATTTCAATATTAATGGTTATTCAATGCATATAGGTATGAAATTATTGGTGACTGGTTGATATCACATTCAAATGTTATATAATATGAGATATCAGTGAATGCCAAAAAAATCATTGGATAAATCAGATATCTTGTGAATTTTTATTGTATCTTTCAAAATCATATCACATACATACCATATGTGTTCTTTATACCTTTATACCAATAGTTCTGGAAGAAGGATGTTTCCTATATGATCCAGATCTTTTTGTGTTGTTGTGTCTTACTAATTAATTGGAGGGGGGGGGGGGTAGTTGTTATAATGCTCACTGGACATGGGTTTTGTGAATCAGCTATGGTATTGGTACATCTGGCTTGCTAGATGTCTGTCTATTTCATTCTTGAACTGGTTGATACTTTCCACATCAATGGCAGACTGGGGTAAACTGTTCCAGGTATTCACAATTCTGTTGCCAAGGACATTTTTTCTCACATCAAGTCTGCTGTATCTATGATTTAGTTTTTCTGTGTTTCCTCTTGTCCTGGTATTATCTGATTTCTGGGCGATGTCACTGATTTGTATTCGGTCGTAACCTTTTAGAACCTTGAAGATTTGGATAAGATCACCCCTTATTCTTCTATACAGTAAAGAGGGGAGTTTTAGTTGTCTCATTCTTTCTTCATAGCTTAAATCTTTCAATGGTGGTACTAGTTTTGTTGCTCTTCTTTGTACTTTTTCAATTTTGTCAATATCCATACAATGTATAGGTGTGGGGGTTCCAGACACTGTTTCCATATTCAAGGTGAGGCCAGACCATGGATTTATATAGGAGTGGTAAGGTGGTTCTATCAAGATGGGAGAAAGTTCTTTTTATTGTCCCAAGAATACTGTTGGCTTTGGATACTTGTTTATCGACATGTTGGTGGAACTTGAGTTTGCAGTCAATATTGATTCCAAGGTCCTTTTCCAATGTTGTTTGCTCCAAAGTTTTGTTGTTCATGGTGTAGTTTTGTTTCTCATTGTTGGTACCTAGATGCATCACCTTACATTTATCTGTATTGAAAGGGAGTTGCCATTCTTTTGACCAGTTTGTTAAACTGTGCAGATCTGTTTGTAACTGTTCTTTATCTTCTTGGTCTTTAACTTTTCCATACAGTTTGGCGTCATCTGCATACATAAGAAGCTTGTTCCGTGTGGCATCTGGGAGGTCATTTATAAACATTCCAAATAGGGATGGTCCAAGGCAGGTCCCTTGAGGGATACCCTTACTATTTATTAAAATATGACCCTTCAATTGTTAGGTGGGCTGACACATATAACTTTGATATGCTTGGAGACCTCATAGCTGAACCCCCTAAGTGTGCTGTCTGTGGAGACCCTGCCACAAAACGCTGCTCAAGGTGCCAGAATGAATGGTACTGCAGGAGGTAAGAAACGTCTGATATAATTGATGCATTATGGGATATGATTGAATGAATGGTACTGCAGGAGGTAAGAACCGTCTGCTAAAATTAATGCATTATGGGATATGATTAAATGAATGGTACTGAAGATCGGGTACTGAAGTAAGTAAGAAACATCTGCTAGAATCAATGCATTGTGGGATATGATTGATTGAATGGTCCTGCAGGAGGTAAAAACCATTTGCTAAAATTGATGCATTATGGGATATGATTGAATGAATGGTACTGCAGGAGATAAGAACCTTCTGCTAGAATCGATGCATTATGGGATATGATTAAAAGAATGGTACTGCAGTAGGTAAGAAATGGCTTTAAGCTCATGTATTATGGGAAATTATTAAATGAATTAAATACACTTCAGGAGTCCAGAACCATTTTCTAAACCTGATGCATTAAGGGAACCAGCCCTTGTTTACATACATTCCATTAGGGGTCACTGAGCACAAGAAAAAATGTTATGTGTGAAATTTACATGTGAGGTTTTACTTTTCAGGGAATGTCAAGTATCACACTGGGGGAAACACAAAGCTGCATGTAACTTGATGGTGGACTCTATGCAGAAGATAAAAGATGGAACTTGATAGAATATACAGACACCTTAAAGTTGGTCACATATTAAACAAAGTGCTCCATCATTGAACACCTAAATGAAGTTGCTTTTGTAACAAGGGAGAATGCATGGAAGGCATTCCAGAGGGAACTTGACAGAAATGTTTCCTATTAGATTTTTGATGTTTGAAACAGTTCCAGTTGTTTTGCACAGGGTCGTTGCCCCCACTGCTATTTTTTATATTGCCCGATATATAACGCTAATTCTTTGTCAGAGAGGATGGGGTTAGGTTGAGCGAACAACTTAAGGGGTCACTAGGCATCTGATGCAAGACAAGTTCGAGAACTGGATCCTGAAACATTCCAATTGACATTTTATGTTTTATTCCGTCCATTTAATGATTGATTGATACATGACTAAAAACATGTTCATGATATCTACTGTATGTGTATGTATTAATATGTGTTTTGTATGAAAATATATTTATTATGACATTGACTTTTATCTTGTTAAATGCTCATTAAAATCTATTTCAAGCAAAAGTTTAAGTACATGTGTCCCGAGACTAATATGACATTTAGAACATTGAGATTTCACATCAATGTGATTAATATCCAAACAAATATATAGTTCACTTGGGATATTGTGAAGCCCTCTGTCTCCTGCCTCCCTGTCCGTCCATCCATCCGTACGTCCGTCTGTCAGTTCATTTATTAAGGAATAACAGTTGACTTATTTGTTAAATCACCACAAAGAAGTAGTGACAGTTGTAATAATGGCTACCATTTAATAAATGGTTACAATTAAATACAGGCCCATAACCAGTTTTTGCCAAGGGGGGTTCACTTTTCAAAAATTCCAGGACGGTTCACATTTGACAACTTCAGCTCAAAATCACTTGAAAAGTGCTCAGAAAGGTAAAAACTATAGTTTTGAAAGAATTTTTGGTGAATTACATGTTTTACTATATGCAAGAAGTAATAAAAATATGGGGAAATATGTTTAGTTCTTTTCTTTGAGGGATTAGAGTTTTCTAGTTGGTCATTATTTGTAGCACAGTTCTATTTTATATCCTCTGCTAACCTTGACTGATAGGCGATATCCCAAACAAATGACTGTATGGTACTTAACACAAAGATTAGTTTTGAACTTTAGACCATTTAGCAAATACAATGTCCAACAGCTTGAACTATTGACTATATACTTGGACATTGACCACTATTCATGAACCTTATCATGTTTATGAAAAAGACAGCTAAACATTATTCAGTTATTTTACCAATGTTTAGGATAACCTTTAAATTTTGTTTATTTAATAATAGCAAATCATGTTATCAATACTTTAAGGGTATTTTATATGTACATGTATAAGGGTAATAACATGGTAGTGCATTTATTATATTAAATTTTCTTGACATTATTGTATTGATTACAACTCCTAGACAATAAAATAATACATGTATGGAACACACTACTTGGCTTATCTAACAGTCTAAGACTTTTGACAGAGCGACTGCATTTCTCAAAATGAAAGAATTAACGCTATTGACCAAGGGCGATTCGATAATCTGATTTTTGACAACTTTAACAATTTTTAACAATTATCTATTTGAATATCATTATTCCAAATAAGATATGAAAAAATCTTAAGCTGTATATTCTAAGCGAATAAATTATCTTTAAATTATCAAGCAAAGCATCATGAAATTAGCTAACACGGTTATTGCGTCATCAAATTGTTTTAAACCTCAATCTTTTAATAAATAGTTATTTTTTGCAGAGCTCTAGATTGGATTGATTGGATTTGCCTATTATCATGTTATGTTAAGGCTCAAAGGTAATAGTTAAAAGGCCATGGGACCTGAAGTACTCCTCAGAAGTCATGTATACACCTGCTGCTATGTGGATTAAATTCTGTTACCATAGTAACCAGCTTGTTAGATCTATTAAAATATATCTCTTAGGCATATCTAATGAGTGTTAACTGAAAATGACTCCCTTATGTATGCCCTTATCATGTTCAGTTAAACCACCTGTGCAACATTGAAATATAGTTTTGTGTATGACTTTAATTATTCATTTCAAGCTACATACAACCTTTCCCCATAAATATTATATAGCATGTATGACAAAATATAAGACAACATATAAGCCATTCTGAGTTAAATACAAAAGAAAAGAAACTTACATTCTACATACATACAGTATTAGCTCAATTGGCATTCAAACACAAATAATAACATGTTTGACAATGACATATGAGCCAGGGCACAGGAAAAGGGGTCTTATCACAGCTTTTTTCAATATTTCGATTCTTTGTTTATCTTAAAAAGCACAAAGAAACCTTTCAAATGAGCCATGGCTTATGTCTTAACAATTTTTCCTTGCAGATATATACCAAAATGATGGATTGAATTTAGCATATTTTCCTCTTCATCTTGGGGACATTTTTGGCTCTATAGCACAATTTTAATTTTTGCAGTAACACCAGTTGTGCTGATATATAGCACAATTGACTCATGTGATAGCACACTTGTTTTACTCACACATGCATTTTCATGCCTTCTGCATCTACCCCCATAAATGTGGGGTCGAATTGGCGTTTTTTCTCATTTTTTAATATTTTAGTGCCACAAGAATGGTAAAATATAAGAAGAAACGTCAATTCGACCCCACATTTATGGGGGTATCTGCATCCAATTTTTTCATGCTCTATGAATTAATGAACGTTTCAGGAATTGTACTTATGCAAAACATGATAACATACTATCATTATCATTGTTAATTTCTCACCATATAACATCACAGATAATTTGTTTCTAGTTCTGTCTCACATGAATCCAATATATTTCTAAATGAATAGAACAGCCTTGACTGAGAATCCCAGCTAGGTCATGGCAACTTATTAAGTGGATATTGCACTATGGACTTGCAAATATAACCTTGAAGTAAAAAAACAGAAAATAATATTGGTAAAAAAACTTGAATATAAAACAGAATATAGTTAGCACAAGGAAGAGAATAACCTTCACCTGTTAATAATTAAGTGGGGTGCATACATAGCCTTGAACTAGTGACATTGTAATTGAAGCACAAGTAGACAACCATTATCAGTGGGATGATATGAATTATCTGTAATGCAGTCTGGAGTGGTGCCCATAACCTATAATCTGCTGGCATATGATCAGGTATATAAATCACCTGTAGAGGTAGAGGTAACTACAGTACTTGTAAGTTATTGGTACGGATGAAACTGAGGCCTCATAGACAAGAAATGGAATAGAATAAAATTGGTTGCTCCAGGACTATTCATTTATTAATTCATTCAATAATCAATATGGCTGAGACAATTATTGAGAAAAACTTAGATGAGAATGAAGTTTGGATAAAAGTAAGAAATTGTCCAAATTTTAGTGATTTGAATGCCAAGGTTAAGAAAATCATACAGAAGTCATCTTATTGGGAGAAGTATGGAATTGATCTTGCCATAGTGTTAACTGCAATAGCATTTGTCCCATTGACCTACAAACTCATGGCAAGTGACAGTCTTTTGACAATTATTACAGGAATGATCATTTTCGGAATGACCCACAGTATTATTGCCAACAAAGGAGGCCATGCTGCATCCCATGGTGCATTTGGTGAAACAAAACTCTGGAACCATTTCGCTACTCGTTTCACTGTTGAATTCTGGGGATCAACTTCAGCGCACATAGGATATATGATCCACATTAAGGAACACCACCCCCACACAAATATTACTGGCCTCGGGGACTCCAGTACGTGGAAGGTACCAATGTTACCTCGATATATCTACATGTTTGTCGCGCCCCATTTCATTCCAATTGTCATACCATTTTTCTCGATGTCGATGCTGATCGGAAACTTTTTGGAACTTGTAAAATATAGCATCATTGCTGGAAGCGGTCTTGTGCTTCAAGTTGGGGCTTTTCATGTATTCTGTGGCTACTCTATTCCCATGTCCATTTTTATGCTATTTGCAAGCCGCTCCGTCATGGCTGCACCATATATTCACTTCAATATATTTCAACATATTGGATTGCCTATGTACTCGCAAGCAAACAGACCAAAGCGTATCTACCAGATGGCGTCTGGATGTCTGAACCTAGACAGGAATCCACTGTTGGACCTAACTTTGGGACACACTTTGATAAACTGCCACGTTGAGCATCATTTGTTTCCTGGATTATCCGACAACATGGTTCTGACCATTAAACCGATCGTTTCATCATTTCTAAAGGAGAATGGCTTGCCTTATAATGAGGATAGTTATTCAAATCGAATGTTTTTATTTCTGGACAAATATGAAGAACTTATGGTCAATGCACCACCATTGACCCATTTCATAGGACTTCAGTAATTCAACTTATGGTAAATGCACCACCATTGACCCATTTCATAGGACTTCAGTAATTCAACTTATGGTAAATGCACCACCATTGACCCATTTCATAGGACTTCATTAATTCAACTTATGGTAAATGCACCACCATTGACCCATTTCATAGGACTTCAGTAATTCAACTTATGGTAAATGCACCACCATTGACCCATTTCATAGGACTTCATTAATTCAACTTATGGTAAATGCACCACCATTGACCCATTTCATAGGACTTCATTAATTCAACTTATGGTAAATGCACCACCATTGACCCATTTCATAGGACTTCAGTAACTCAACTTATGGTAAATGCACCCTCATTGACCCATTTCATAGGACTTCAGTAACTCAACTTATGGTAAATGCACCACCATTGACCCATTTCATAGGACTTCAGTAACTCAACTTATGGTAAATGCACCCTCATTGACCCATTTCATAGGACTTCAGTAACTCAACTTATGGTAAATGCACCACCATTGACCCATTTCATAGGACTTCAGTAATTCAACTGAGAGCAAATGATTAATTATGAATACATTGACATACAGGTTAACAGAAATGCGAATTTATAACATTGTGTATTATACTTTTAGAACGAAACAATATCTCTGTTGTTTATAACTGAAATAGCCCACTTATTTTGGCATCCTTTCAAGAGTCATTAACACCGTTACATACTGAAAGTGCATGCTTCAACCAAGTTATGTCTAAACCTATGTCTATATCTCTCAAATAAAGGCACACTGTCAAGTGTGTTTGACAGATATGTATACCTTGCAACAATTAAGACAATGCAATCTGTTTGACTTATTTCTTGGTATTTTTACTACCTCATCAGAGACATTTAAAATCAGCCACATCCCGAGTTATCTATTGAACCACTAGAATTGTGGTGTACATATTCTGCGTTTTATTATATCCTTCATGGATTACTAATGGACCACCTAAAATATATTGTGACAATTGTATCATTTACATGTTTAGTAGTTAATGGAGTAAACACTCTGTACAGTAATAGAATGTTCCAATTTACTGCATGCTCCAATACCACATCCTATAATTGTTGTCCACTGAACTAAGTATTGTAGTAAGCTAATATAATGTACAAAACATAATTTTATTGAAATATAATTATTGAATCTTCACTTTATTACCATCTTTAATATTACACATATAGGCTACTTTTAGTCAAAAGTATTGAAATATTCTTACTTCATTTTTCAACAAAATTAACAATACATTGAACGTTGTAGGCTAGGCCTTTATGCCACATACTGAGACAGTCATTTTCCTTTACCAACACAATATCAACTATTACATATATTTACTTGAACCTGATGCAGGCTCTCACGTTATGCTTTGAAAATATTAGTTTAATGACAATGCTGCATTGTTGTTTCACAGTAAAAAATTATACTTTGTTTTTTTATATTATTACATGCAAATACAATCATGCTATACTAAAAATAAATAATACCTACTATTTGTTGAATTTGTTATATTTAATTCTGACCAGTTAAGTATTTGGCTCTTTATCCCAAACCCAACAAAAACAGCCTGATCGCAACTCAAAGGAGTAGCAAATCCCACCCAACAAAACATATTTTATCAAATCACCCATCGTTTTGAACATGACATGATAGAAATTACTGTGTAGTACAGAGTAGTATTGTTATCTTTTGGATAATACCCCCACGATGTGACGTGATGCCATATTAAAAATTCATTTTAAAAGGTATTGTGATCCTTGTGACCATAATAGGGCATAAGCCTATTAACTTTTAACCAAATCTGATATTGGTATTTGCGTCATTGAAAAAATCATGTTTTCCTGAGAAATTATGGCCATTTTGAATTCAGCATTCCTTCTTGAGCAGTCCTATACCAAAAAGGCATCTGCACATAAAATCTGAACGAAATCTGACAAATGGCCACCTTATTTCTTAAATTATTTTTCCTCATTCTGAAAATGTAGTTATATGAACATACAAAATCAATTGACACTCCTAGTACTAAGTAGCTACTGTTATGTAAAAGAACTCACGTCATTGTGATATGAAAGAAAATTGAACCAAACATTAAGCAATTTTGAATGCTATTGAAAATTATAACAATACAAGCATACATACAACCTGTATTGCACAAAATTATATTAACAACACCACTGCTCAATACCATCATATGGTAAACTAAATGCGCAGCTATGAGCGTACAAAATACATTGAAGGCACAAATTATACAAAAGGACTGCAAAATCAATCATGACTGCAATCATTAACAAATTCCATGACTGACATCATTTCTGATATCTTTGGTCCGTTTTCAATTTACTTAACAATGAAGCATTTTCAGCTTTAACAATACACACTCAATAACTCCAGTAGGAGTGTTGCAGAATGTTCAATATACAGTATATTGGGAGATCTGTGTAATTTTCCATATCATATTGAAATGAATTCACATTTACTTATTTTTCAGACTCTGTAGCATGAATGCAAAAGCATTTTTTAGAGGCTATAATTTCATGTGAATTTCTAAATTTTGTACTCTATTTTGGTCAAATTATCTCTCTGTTGCAAAATTGATAAATGCTGGCACTGACATGCTTGGTGCTAAGTGGGGTCAATTTCAATCTCTCTGTATTTCTGGACACGTCTCCATTCACCAGTGGCGTAGTTCATTTGGAAATAATGGTCCACTACCATTGGCTTATACAAGCCATCAAATTGTTTTACACTCTCGTTGCTTTCGCTGAGTCTAACATTTACTATATCTCCCTGGTCCTTACAAGGATTTTCTGAAAATGGAAATGGAAAATGTATAAATTCTATGTACATTTGGATTAACTTATGATGATCCAATTTCAATTCAGTCTCAATTTATCTATTAATCCTATGTTATCAAACACCTCCGCGAGTATCTTATAATACTTTTTATCCCATACTTGGAGGTGTTACGGGTACATAAAGCCGGTTTGTAAAAAATTATATTTTCATCAGCGGGCAGATATAGCTTTACGTCCCGCTCCGAGCGGGCAGATAAAGTATATCTGCCCGCTACGTCATAATCGCTGTTCCCGAATTGGATCTTTTTTTTGTAACGTTTGCATACTGTAAACGACAATGGAGAAAAACGCAGACAATCGCGATCTGTTTGATGCATTAACGAAGGGAAGGAGCAGTATGCCCCGTTAATTATCAAAGATTTGAACAGGAAAACCCGGCTACAGACAAGAATACAAAACTGGACATGAATATTTTAAAATAATTCCACGGATGGTTGCAAAGTTTCCGAACTTTGGCCAATTGAACAATGTGATAAGTATGGGATAAACAGATCATCCTATAGTCGGTTCAGGATATGGGGATTATCCCTTGGCCAATATAATATATCTACCCTCGGGACCTACGGCCCTCGGGCAGATATATTATATTGGCCTCGGGATAATCCCAATATCCTGAACCTCATATAGGATAATCTCTATATATGCATGCATCACCATCTTTATGCACATGTTTGTACTAAAAATGAATTAGGGAACATGAATATTATGTTGATCCTAGAGACATCTATACATACATAATAAACTGAAAAACATGTAGTTGTTAAATAAATCAACATGTGATATATATGCATATAGAGTTATAAGCACACCCACAAAGAAAAAACTTGCATTGAATTCTCATAAGGGTTGGAACCAAGAGAAACAGATCCATGGGCCTTATATTTGCCTTATACTACCTTGCCTATTTTTAAATCCAGGATATGCACTTGGCAAGAAAATAAGTAAATTTTCAGTAATTCAGAAAAATCAGCAACAAGTACTCACCTCTAGATCCCGCCATAAAGCCTAGTATAAGAGCTTTTTCCGGACGTGTGACACGATTTGAATTGCGGAACATCTCTTGAGCTTCTAACATTTGCTCTCGCTGTAAAATATAAAGTTTTTGATATAAAAGGATTTAAATAATTAACACATTTTTATCATACATATCAAGTTTCATATATGCTTTACTTGCATAAACTTTAGAATAGAGGAAAATCATACAAAAAACAAATAATAGGCATCAACACCATATGGTAAATTATCACAAATTGTTCCATAAGTATGATTATTATTACATGTAGTTACAAAGATTAAACAGTAAACAGTGATGCAGAACGCAAGTCATCAAAATGCTGACTCTAACAATACATCAAAACTTCTTGTTGATGACAAAAATAATTTAGGACTAGTCTATAAAACATGTAAATGCAGATCTTTTATTTCTAAGTTACTCACAGTTAATGATAATCCTTTTTTGGCAGGTTGGTCGGAGTTTTGTTCTGAATTTTGAGTAGGTGGTACAGGTTCGTGATCCCCTGCTACAACACCAGGGGGCTCTGAAGGTTGGGTAGGCTTAAGCTGAGACTGGAGTTGTTGAGATAAATTATTGCGGGCTTGTTGGGTTGCTGATCCGATGCCAGACACTGAAACAAATACAGGGTTGGTTAAGAAAAGAAAATATAAAACAATAATAGATTACTATTAATCTACCCATGTACATTCCTTTTGGTCAAATTTATTACAAGAATTTCATTAAGCTTAGTACAACTTAATTAGTACAACTTAATTGTAATGATAAAAGTAAATGTTTATTGTTACCTGGTAGGACAGTAGTGCCCCCTGTTGAGGCAGAAGGTAGCCTTGACGACTGAGGTGTATAGGTTGGACCACTATTGGAGAATGGGTTCTTATCAGTTTTAGGAGTAACTGGCGTGATTGGCGTAATATTCTGAAAAAATCAAAAAATATAAACATCGTTTGTGCAAACATTTCACTCATAAATGGCTTTTGGTTTATAGGTTAACATGGTTTAAAGAGTCAGGGGTTTGTAATGTTTGTGTTTTTCAAATGTTGCCCCTTTTACTTTCTCATCAATTCACACATGTCTCACTCAAAATTGGAATTGATGGATGATTAGTTTGTGAATGGTTGTTCTTTGAAAATTGTTAAAACCCAAAGAAAGTGGAATGGTCGATTTTTCTCTTCTTGGGGAAAATGTTTAACAAAATCTACAACTCACCGTCATTGGTGACATAAGTCCTGCTGCGTAGTCAGGGGTTACCGTAGTAACACTGGCCTCTTTCTCCTTGGCACGCTCATCTTGCTCTACAACATTCAGTCAAGCAATTCAATTTGGATTTTCTAATCTATTGTGATTAAATTTGGCTATTGTTAATCTATCATACCAAAGTGAAATATTATGCTGAAAAGTGAATGCATTTTTATAAAATTGCACACTGCTAAATGGCAACAACCTGAAATGTTATTGATGTAATCTGGGAGAACAATTTGTCAATTTACCTCACCTCTATTGTGTTTAGGTTCATGCTGACCAGCAATGTTCACTCACCTGCTTGTCTGCGTCTTTTCTTTGCTTCTTTTGTTCCTAACGGCACCTCATTGATATCTAACAACTGAAAAACAAACATTTTCATGACCATTATTTATAACTAAATACTATTTTTGTTTCAATATTGTGTACAACCAATCTTAAAAATATTATTTGTTCAGTAGAATATATTATGATTAGAAATTTACAGCTTTGAGAATACATGTAGATGGATATCCAATTTACATATTTACATACATTTAATCCTTTCCATATTGATATTTTTAAATTTTAACTTGTAAAACCAATTTTTGAAATTAAATGATTTTTATTCACAGCCGTCTTACTTTTATTCCTCCTTCTTTCCTATTGGCTGGTGTCCGAGTGCCACTGATTGGTGTGTGAGAGAGACGATGGGAGATGGGGGTGCGTATAAACCCAGGTGTACTACTGCCAGAGGGAACTCTCTCCCTGATCCCTTTCAGTGGTGCTGGCAAACAATTGATGGGACATAATTAGATGTGTTAGTTTAATGATGTAAGATAAGTGCAAGCAGGTGAGTATGGAACAAATACTGTTTGAATACTATAGAATTTCAATCAAAACAAAACATTTTAATAAATACATGTTTAATATACATGCACTGTACTGTAAATGTTTTGAAAAACATTACATTGGCGAACATTCACAATGCAAAAAAAATATTATAAAAATGGATTTTAATTTCTACCACAATACCCATAGCGCCATCTTTTAACTTACTTGTGTCATCCATTTTCTTCGCAAAACTTCTCATCTTAAATGGCATGGATCTGTCCCCAGGTTTGTTCTTGAGATTGCATGCTACTTCTGTGGCTAAAGTAACAGATAAATAATGAATTATTTCATTTATCTCAGCAAAAGCCGGGACCTTAAAATGACTGTTCAGGCAAAATGTCCAATTTTAGGAGCATGAGGTAAGGAAATAGTAAGGCAAATCTGATCAAGCTCTAATCAAAATAAAACTTTAAAATATAAGATGTATTGCATATATGCCGTTTATTTACATGTATAATATTAGTGATCTCCACAGGATTGTAAAACTGAGTTCTGCCTCAAATTGAGAGTTTGCAAAGGGTCTTGTACTCAGTTGAATATCAACTTGAACGCAATTGAGATTCATCTTGGAAGTAATTAAAGATTAGATTTTTTGAACATTCAAAATTGGTAAAAAAATAAGAATTTTATACCCAGTACAGAAAAAAATTGAAAACATACATTTTTGTAACAACTCAGCTCTCAAAGCTGCAGACTTAGGCTTCCTCTTCAATGTAAAGTTTTTGACAGGTTGCGGTTGTTGCCCAGCAACAGCTGTGATTGCATTCTTGCCCAGGTAGAGAGATTCCATTGGTAGCATGTGAGCATCTGATGATTTCTTCACTGTAACAAATTTAGACATAAAATAAAGAAATTTTATATCTTTAGTTGTATTAAGAAAATAATAATATTAAATCAGTATTTAATTCTCATCTCTGTTGAAACTTTTTTGTCAAACAGTTTGGGGTATGGACAAAAAACACAGATTGCAGAAACTATATTTGAGAACATCCTTGACTTATGTTTGAAATGTTTGTTTTCAAAAATAAAAAGTAAATGATTACAAGAACACAAATGTGTACAAAATGTCCCCACCAATGGGTGATCCCATGAAATGGTTATCCTGAAAATGAGTAGACAAGACTTTACCAACACAATTTGAGGACGGAAAATCCAAAATGGCCACCTTAAAATTTACCCAGAATGCCCAAAATTTAGTCAGTTCTAGATTTTCAAACTAAGAACTACCCCTGAAAATTTTTAATTGATCTGTCACACAGTTAACTAGAAAACATGTAAACAAGACTTTACAGACAAGATTTTAGGATGGAAAATCCAAAATGGCTGCCTTGACATTTACCCAGAATGTCAAAAAACTAATCAGATGTAGATTTTCACACTAAGAATCATCCCTGAAAATTTGAAATTGATCTACCAAACGGTTCACCTAAAAACGCGTAGACAAGACTTTACAGGCAAGATTTTAAGACGGAAAATCCAAAATGGCTGCCTTGACATTTATCCAGAATGCCAAAAAACTAATCAGATCTAGATTTTCATACTAAGAATCATCCCTAAAAATTTGAAATTGATCTACAGAACGGTTCACCTGGAAATGCATAGACAAGACTTTACAGACAAGATTTTAGGACAGAAAATCCAAAATGCCTGCCTTGACATTTGCCCAGAATGCCAAAAAACTAATCAGTTCTACATTTTCATACTAAGAATCATCTCTGAAAATTTGAAATTGATCTACCAAACGGTTCACCTGAAAATGCGTAGACAAGACTTTACAGACAAGATTTTAGGACGGAAAATCCAAAATGGCTGCCTCGACATTTACCCAGAATGCCAAAAAACTAATCAGTTCTACATTTTCGTACTAAGAATCATCTCTGAAAATTTGAAATTGATCTACCAAACGGTTCACCTGAAAACGCGTAGACAAGACTTAACAGACAAGATTTTAGGACGGAAAATCCAAAATGGCTGCCTTGACATTTACCCAGAATGCCAAAAAACAAATCAGATCTAGATTTTTATACTAAGAATCATCCCTGAAAATTTGAAATTGATCCACCAAACGGTTCACCTGAAAACACGTAGACAAGACTTCACAGACAAGATTTTAGGACGGAAAAATCCAAAATGGCCGACAATAAAAAAGTGATTATGTGTTTTTGCTGATTTCTTCTAACAAAATTATCACATATAACTACTGTTAACAATAACATAGGCTTTTACAACAAAGTACATCTGAAATTATTTATAAAGCTACTAAATAGTTAAAGTATGAAAACTCAAAAACACCATTCAATATGATACAAAGTATTATCGTGCGCTAACTTTTCTTAAGACATTCAAAATGGCTGACATGACTGAGCTAACAGGTCCAAAACCTAATCAGATCTAGAATGAAGTGAGCTGAACAAGATGTTTAAGTTTTAAAAGCAACTGTGAAGCCATTTTTCTTAAAGTTTGCAGACAAGGATTTTAGCATTTGACTTCAAAATGGCCGACAGGAAGTAGGTATCGAGTTAAAATTTTTTCATCCACATCTGTATGCACTCATAAGTTATCCCTGAAAATTTGAAGGTGATATCTGTAGCGGTTTTGGAGAAAACTCCCGGACGTACGGACAGACGGACGGACAGACGGACGGACGGACGGACAGACGCGCCTAGGCCGACAATATGGCCCCACACTATGTGGTGGGGACATAATAAAATAAAATATAAACATAAATCTACATTAATATCTCTCATACCTAGTTTTTTCAAATCAGATAAATGTTCCTGGAAGAAAGAATTTTGTGGGTCAATTTCAAGGTTCAGAGTTCCCGATCGTGGATAGGGTCTGAATATCTCTGCTACCATGGAAACCCATTGATCACTATCAGCCATTGCAATGTCCAAGATGTACTCTAAGTCAGATCGCCACTGAAAGAAATAGAAACAATTTTGGTAAGATTACATACCGAGGGTTTCATGCAAAAAGGTTCTATCTCACAAAATGTTACTTTTGAGAAAATCAACTTTAAAGATTTGAAACATTCTCATAAATCAGGGTTCATCTCAATTTCATTGATATTCAGGGATAACATTACTCAGGATAAGGTCTATCTGTACAACTTATAGTTAAGCTTTCCCATTAATGGTTTTTTAATTACACTCATTTTTGTAAATAGAACCTTTTTGCATGTGTAAAATTTGAAAAAATATTTGTGCAAAAAGGTTCTATGTAACTAATAGCACTTTTATGCAGGGACTATTTTGAATATTCATGTTGTGTTACCAATGCAGAAAGGTTCCATAACATTATAGAACTTTGATGCGGGAACATGTTTAAATCAATTCTTGTGTCATGCTTTGTATAGAATGGTTCTGTAACTGCATCTGCAAGTTTGAGCCCCTCTGTCCGTTTGTTTTGTCCCACAGGTAACAGCTTCCCTTACCCTCCCCCAGTGAATATACAGACAGGTTGTAAGAAGCAAGCTTCCGTTTGTAAAAGATTTGAGATACTCTCCCACATGGTGTAGCAAGAACTGCTTCCATGTCAAATGTCATGGCATGGAAAGTAGAATCTTTTTTTTCGCTCGTTCCTTATCTACTGTTTTTTCTTTCCTTGCTCGTTCTTTTTGTTGGATATGTTTATTGTATTTTTTATGGCTTTCCTCTCCTTGTTCTGGTTGAGGGAAATCAAAATTAGTGCAGATATGACATTGATCTTTCTTTGGTTTATAAAATGAAAGATTATAGTTTTCTGTGAAAATCTTTCTGTACATACGTTTGCTCACTGGATTTGTTTCATTCATTCGGCATCTCTCAACATATAACTCGTGCATTTTTCTGATATTAAGGCCTCGGTCCAAGTACTCTTTGTTAGAATCCTTTCTAGTGTAGTGTGAAGCCATCTTTGGAAATGCTTCAATATGATTCTTGACATCAGTGATGCTTTTTTCTGGTGTTTTGTTATATGACGCATTCTTTCCTCTTTTATCTGTTCCAACATATTTTCCAAATGCTTTGTTCTGCAGGGTGTTGTCAACAGTTTTGTGGGAAATGGCTAATGTACTCAGGAACATCTCTTTACATACACGTTCAGGATGACCTTCTTCATTGTATAATCTGTACACCCTCGAATTTGCCTTTCTTGTACTATACTGGCCTTTACATGTGGCACATTTATTTTTCTTTGTTGGATTCTGAATTATGAGGGAGCATATATAATCTTTTTGTCGTTTATTGGAATCCATTGAGCGAAATTCCCTGAATATTGATTCCCTTGATTTTTGACTTATTTTCTCATTGCAGTGATATCTACAAGATGAACAATCAATTGGTTTGACAGACCTCTCTTCTATTTTCTGTCCCTTTGAGTCCTGCTAGCCGATTAGCTTTGTTTACATTTCGTTTCCAGGTTTCTGGCTTCGACTTTGCCCTTGCTCTGGTTAGTTTTTTCTTCTTTGGACTTCTGTAAGTAGCTGCCTTTCTTGGTGTTAAATTAACAGAGAGATTCTGACCCTTGTCATCTTGGATAACTTCTACCCTCTCAGATTGGTTCTCCATGAACGTTTCATTTGTTGGTGAAACATGCTGTTTTTTCTGTTGGTTTGGTACTTTCCTTGTCATCTTGGATAACTTCTACCCTCTCAGATTGGTTCTCCATGAACGTTTCATTTGTTGGTGAAACATGCTGTTTTCCTGTTGGTTTGGTACTTTCCTTGTCATATTGGATAACTTCTACCCTCTCAGATTGGTTCTCCATGAACGTTTCATTTGTTGGTGAAACATGCTGTTTTTCTGTTGGTTTGGTACTTTCCTTGTCATCTTGGATAACTTCTACCCTCTCAGATTGGTTCTCCATGAACGTTTCATTTGTTGGTGAAACATGCTGTTTTCCTGTTGGTTTAGTACTTTCCTTGTCATATTGGATAACTTCTACCCTCTCAAATTGGTTCTCCATGAACGTTTCATTTGTTGCTGAAACATGCTGTTTTTCTGTTGGTTTGGTACTTTCCTTGTCATCTTGGATAACTTCTACCCTCTCAGATTGGTTCTCCATGAACGTTTCGTTTGTTGGTGAAACATGCTGTTTTTCTGTTGGTTTGGTACTTTCCTTGTCATCTTGGATAACTTCTACCCTCTCAGATTGGTTCTCTATGAACGTTTCATTTGTTGGTGAAACATGCTGTTTTTCTGTTGGTTTGGTACTTTCCTTGTCACCTTGGATAACTTCTACCCTCTCAGATTGGATCTCCATGAACGTTTCATTTGTTGGTGAAACATGCTGTTTTTCTGTTTGTTTGGTACTTTCCTTGTCATCTTGGATAACTTCTATCTTCTCGGATTGGTTCTCCATGAACGTTTCATTTGTTGGTGAAACATGTTGTTTTTCTTTGGGTTTGGTACTTTTCTTTGAGAATGATGTAGTTGACTCATGAAAAGGCACACTTAAATCATAATGTTCATGGCCTGTTACTGCTAGATATGTTAGATTGTATCCTGGAGATTGACCCTTTATTGGAGATGAGGTTTGGATTCCCATATTTGGGGAGAAGTTTATAATTGGCTGATCTTGTTTTGTGGTGAATATAGTGAGATTTTCTTGAAACATCTTTGCTACTGCTAAAGGAAGGAAATCACCCGCTAGTGCAGTCCAGGATGATCTAAGGTCTTGTACTACTTTAGAATAAGATTCACCTTCTGGAACAAACTCCATGTAGATTTCAGAGAAAGCTTCTTAATGAAGACATATTTCCCCCTTTATATGATCTGCTGTTTGATTAAACATTAATCCAACTGCATGGTAGAAACAATCACCATCTCCTGGTATCTGTTTTAAGTGTCTGCCCATTACTTTTCAACAAGCTTTGCAGTTATTTGTATGTGCATTAACAATTTTATCATGCCTTTCAGCGTCGTCTCTGCTTCTTCTTAGAGCTTGGGCCATGTCTGTTTTGCCTGGGCTGTTAGGTTGTTTCAGCGTACGGCCACATTTGTGTCTTTTAATCGAGTATGACTTTGTCTGATGTTCTATTTTCCTTCGTTTCATATTGGTTCTTGGTTCATGATGAGGTTTGTAGGCTTCAATTTCCTCATCTGAAGGCTCCATATCTATCAGCTCAGATGAACTTGATGATGAATCTGATGAGTCATACCTTGGTGGGCGGTAGTCTGAATCATTATAAGAGTCATCTAAAGGTGATTCTATATCATGATATAGCAGGTTAGCAACTGGCTCGTTGTCTGATTCATTGAAAGTATTTGTATCACTCACACTCGGCTTTATTTTGGGGGAAACTGATATACCTTGCTTGGATATTGTTTTGGAATCTGCTCTTGTATGTTGAGACACTTGGGGATCATTTTCTGTGGGTGAGAATAGTTGGGGACCATCAGTAGTGGGTTCCTTTATTTGATGGCCTGTTTCGGTGTATGGTGACATTGAGGCGTTGACATTCATGGGATTCATTATCTGAGTCATTATCATTGTCACTCTGAGGTTCGACTATTTGGTTACCTGTTTTGCTGATGATTGACAATGGGGCATCATCACTCTCGGATACCATTATTTGGGGATCTGTTGGAGTAGTAGATGATATATAGGTGGCGTCACTCCGAGGTTCCATTGTTTTGGGAAATAGTTCAAAACCTGGCGATAATGGGAAGTCATCACTACAAGGTTCCATTTTTGGGGAACATGATTCCAAAGCTGCTAATATTTGGGATGTGTCAAGCGAAGGTTCTATTATTTGGTTACGCTTTTCAGTGACTGGTGGTTCTGAGGCATCATCCCTTGTCGATTCCTTATATACATTATAAGGTTAGTCTGTGGCCAGTCGAACATCTCATCGTATCATCTAGAGTTCTAGTATCATATTGTTCAATGATGTTAATCTAGTAATCTCTGCATTAGGTATTAATGGGATACGACTAAGTCATTACAAAATCACAGCCATTAGGCTTCAATATTTGAATAATAGGGTGTAGTTGGTCACTGTTGTGGCTAGGGATATATTAAAATGCATGGTCTACACAGATAAAACTGTAGTATACACAGTGATCCTATTAAATCAACTAAATCCCAGACAGACAAAGAAACAGACAAACACAAAACATATAGACAGTGAAATATAAAAGGGCCCAAGTCAAAGTAGGTTTTAATAAGTGACTTTTGTTGACATTCAAAAAGGTTCCATTGATAACATAGAACATTTTTGCGGGAGGTAAAAATGACTTAGCACCTTTTTGCATGGAAGAAACTGTTCATAGTTGGATAGAACCTTTTGTTATGCAACATTATATCAAGTTATATATCATATTGAGAGAATTCAAGTATACCATTACATAGCTTATGTTTTGTTCTATAGCCTGGTATCAATAACTCATTTTTGATAAAAAATGTAGTTGGCACCTTTTTGCATGAAACCCTCGATACATGTTCTTCTAACATCTTACAGATATACTACCAGTTCTGAGTTCTGCCAGCAGTTTAAGTGTTGAATCAGATTAATAAAAACATGGCGGAAGGAATAGAAAAAGGTAGATAAATAATTCACTCTGTCTAAGATCGAGATAGAGACGCAAGAAATATGAGAATGTGGAATAAAACATCACGTTGATATCTGATTATTGAATCAAATTGATTCCCGTTTTGCCATGTTTATTGGAAACATGACATTCAGCTATTTTACACATTGTATTCTCTGCTGCCATGTTTAGTCAATGCCAGGCTTTATTTCTGATTGTAGCTCTTGAAAGATTTAAACAAACTTAAACATTTGAAAATGAAACACCCATTGACTTTATTCCTTGTTTAAATGCAAAGCCCATTGAAGCAGATCTATGATCAGGTAATCGAATTGTACAGGGTGCCACAAAGTCTATTTCTAATTACAATTTACAAATGCTGTGTAAATGTGTGAAAGTACTTCATAGACACCCTGTATACCACCGTACATATACAATGAGCTGAGACGCATTACACGTTTTCGATAGCAATGTATTACAGATTTTGATATGGGATGCTTGAAACGTTGCAACATGCAAAGCGACACTGCGAGAAGTACGTTCAACAATAAATTTAAATGTTAAAATTAAATGCATTATTATCCAATGCGTACGAAAGCCTCTTTCATGTATCCCTACACGTTTCTGCACCTAAACAGGGAAACGTCATTCACATAGATTTGATCAATGGAATCGAATGCAGGTTTTAAAAACGTTGAGTCAAGACGTCAAGCAAAGTCCTTCTATCATGATATTTCCCGTGTTCCCTCATATCGACAATTGTTATTTTTTTGATGATTGGGATTCAGACGAATGAGATCTGGACCATTGGGATTCGGATGAATGCGATTCGGATGATTGGTATTTGGACAAATGTGATTCAAACGATTTGGATTCATACGATTGAGAATCGGACAAATAGGATGTTCCCGCGCCTGTGTTCGGATATGGGCTTTCAGGAGATCTTGAAAGCCCATGGTTCTGACCATTGAGATTGTGATTCCGACGATTAGGATTCGGTCCAATTCCCAATGATGTGTCGTCACCACTTTAAAACGCCCATAATTATTATTTACAGGATAAACACCAATTCAATTTCAAAATCTTACCTGCTCAATATTTCTTTGAGGAATATGGATGAAAGAAAGCATAAGTTTGACTTTCACATATGGTTGAAGGCTATGGAAACAGTTCTGAATACTCTGGAGTTTGTCCTGTGTTAACTGGCTGCATATTGACCGGCCCGACCATAGGTCATCGGTGGAACCAAGCTTATTATGAAGCCAAAGAGCCGTGTCTCCTTCTCTGGAAGCCATTTTTTAAATTGAACGCCACAAATTAGTTTCATGTGACATTTCAAAGTCAAAGGTTTTCGAGATTACGTTTGATAAAAATGCAGAAACGATATCACTTATGTTTATTTCTTTTCAGATTTAAGACAAATAACGTGTCTGTGGTCCTAAAACGCGACCATTTGACTTCAAAATTGTGTACTCAAAATAGACTTTTGGCGTGTCATGAAAAAATATGTTTTGATTTTTGTAATTTCAAATTTCCCTCCTATTATGGCTTTTGTTCAAGCAGTGTTGGTGTTGGGTAAGTCAAAACTAGTTTAACCACTACATAACAGTGTTTTCTTCAAGCTTAGATTATATTCAGTGCTACCACAGTTTGCATATAAAAGATTATTCAATTTCTACAGAAATTTTTTTGCTGATTTTCATTTTGTATGAATTTCCATTCATTTTCCAAGGATTGCACAGGGTTTTTACTTTTATATGCTTATTGAGTCAAGGCTTGCTCTTTTGACTTCTTTTTCCTTCTAGACGAATTCATATGGATGATTGGCAGCCATTATTGAAACTCAATGCTCTGTTGCCTGCAGTGGAATCCCGGGAGTGGAATAGACTACAGTTGGGGACAAAAATAAATGACAGGTCGATTTTCGATCACCATTTCCTAATTATGGTGGTCTGAAAGCCCATAATTTCCAATATTGTCTAGATACATATCCCTTAAAATTTGTATATTTTACATTTTGTATAATCTCATCCACTGACTCATGGCCTCTTGTAAATTCTCTTATTTTTAACATGGGAAATCCTCACTTCAGCAAATCCACCTGTCATTTATTTATGTCCCCAACTGTAGTCCAGTTTAGTAAAAATATTTCTATAAGGTTCTCTTTGGACCAAATTTTTCATTGATAGACGGTCATTACGAATATTTTGGTAGTATTCAAGCTTCCTCAGCAGTTCTTGTCTTCAAATTCAATTTATGTGTACTCTCACTCTCAGTCTACTGACCTAAGGAAGGCCAATGAAACCTTGCTTCAACCCTGGATAGATGATGGTAGATGTTTTATCTCTCAGCACATTCTCAGCATCCCTGTCAGTTTTTAATCAACAACAAGTTAAATACAGTAGCCTTATATGTGTAATCATGGATGTTTGCATGGAAATCAGCATGGCCATTTGGCTACATCATTATCATCATCATCATCATTAGGACGTAATGGGCTAAGCAAGTAATGTCATCCTCTCATTAACTTAAGCCACCTGGCTTCTCAATTCATTGGTTATTAATACAAGTCTAATTGAAAGCCCATGCTATAACATATAGTGCTCCCTCTTCCAGTGATCGTCCATCCTCTTCTTAAAGTTTTCTAGGGTCGGTGAACATACTACTTTCTCTGGCAGGCTTTTCCAGATTGCTATAACTCTTTTGGAGAAGAAGTGCTTTCTGAGGTTAAGCCTGGATCTTTCCTGATATAATTTAAGTCATGCCCTCTTGTAGATCTCACTGTTGACTGAATTAAGAATGTCTCTGCATTTACTCTGTCAATGAACAATTTTAAAAACCTGAATTATGTCTGCTCTTTTCCGTCTATATGTCATAGAGTATAGCTTTAACTGTTTAAGTCTTTCTGGGTAAGGTTTTTCGTTCATTCCAGTGACAAGTTTTGTGGCTGTGTGGTGAACTCTCTCAATATCTTCCAACATGGGCCGGTCCATGGACTTTCAAGAAATCCAATGCTTCCACCTCTTACTCTACACTGGTTTTGAGAACAGCAGCTTGCTCAAATAATGATCTAATGTATCACCCTATAATATAGACATGTACCGACTATAAATCCATTTCATTAATTAGATTATGCACAATTTCTTGAAGTACATGTAATTCTTTGAGTTTGTTCTTTGCACCATGGTAGATCTACAGAATATGAGGAATCCAAAGTTTTGCATTGGCAAAATCAGGGACTTAGAGACACTTGACTTGATAGGGGTACTATCAATTTGAGATTAGATCTAATGATAATATACAATCCAATCGATATATGCCACCCCCCCTCTAATCTGGCCGTGAGAAATGGTTTGAAAATATCATTAGTCAGTGGAGGATAAACAGTAAATGCTATAAACTGATGTGATTCAAGGCTTACATGTACCTTATATCTTTTATTAACAGCATGCATATTAGCAGTCACTACAGGAGAGGTGAAGGTTGCAGTGATAGGGAAGGCATTCTCTTTTCCCATTCAGAGAGCGGATTTCTTCAATGGGACATCATTGTGTAAGTTAAACTTGAAGAATGGAAAAATGAAATATACATGAACTGTGAATACAACATAGAAATTAGCTCCACATGGTGCATTAGTTATCATTTGAATGAAATGAAGCACGGGCCATTAAATTGCAGCATCAATGAACCAAAAAATCAGAAAAATCAAATGCTTAGTTCAAAACTAGTTTCAAAACCCTAAGTTGGGCAGCTAAATATTTAAAACCTTTGTAGCTCTTTGTGAACAACCACTTTTTTATTTCTGGTCGAGATTTTGCTAATTTTTTGATTTATGATTTTCGTGTCATGGTTTTTACAAGTATATACCACATGTACTGTAGTAGTTCACAATCCTATACAATTGACCTATGAGGTGTCTTGTTATTTAATCACCAATATCTGATTTGTGTTTCAAATCTGTCACCTAAGAGTGGTTAAGATCTACACTGTAAGGAAAATATTTTTATGGGTATAATATACATGTACATATTTCCAGTGGAAACGGTCCCTGTTGAGTTTTCACCTTCTCTGATTGGCTACCCAGATCTGCCATCATGGTTGACGTTTGTCCAAAGAAACCTCACTGAGGATGGCTATATATACGGCACACCCAACTCCTATACTGACTCAAACTACAATTTAGAGGTAAGAAATGATATGGACCTCTTGTTTTACAAATCCTGGTGAACTCAGCTAATAATGAGTTGTTGCCATCCCAATGATTAAAGTTAAGTTATATACCATTATTTTGGAACAGGGCATTAACTTGTTTTTGAAGACAGATGAAATAATGAAACTTTTTAATTATAATTATATCCACGAATTAATATTCTTCATGTGCAATCCAATTGTTTATCATTTATTAATGCCATGTAGTCAAAATAATATTTTCTATATTTTACATATTTCTTTATTTGTTATATGTTACAAAATAATATATTGCAGATTCTTGCGGTGAATAAGAACAACTACCAGACATCAAGACGTGAAGTGACAGTCAGTGTCAAACCTAACTCAAGTAAGTAAAGTGCCAGTCAGTGTCACACCTAACTCAAGTAAGTGAAGTGACAGTCAGTGTCACACCTAACTCAAGTAAGTAAAGTTACAGTCAGTGTCACACCTAACTCAAGTAAGTAAAGTGACAGTCAGTGTCACACCTAACTCAAGTAAGTGAAGTGACAGTCAGTGTCACACCTAACTCAAGTAAGTGAAGTGACAGTCATTGTCACACCTAACTCAAGTAAGTGAAGTGACAGTCATTGTCACATCTAACTCAAGTAAGTAAAGTGACAGTCAGTGTCACACCTAACTCAAGTAAGTGAAATGACAGTCAGTGTCACACCTAACTCAAGTAAGTGAAGTGACAGTCAGTGTCACACCTAACTCAAGTAAGTGAAATGACAGTCAGTGTCACACCTAACTCAAGTAAGTAAAGCGACAGTCAGTGTCACACCTAACTCAAGTAAGTGAAGTGACAGTCAGTGTCACACCTAACTCAAGTAAGTGAAGTGACAGTCATTGTCACACCTAACTCAAGTAAGTGAAGTGACAGTCATTGTCACACCTAACTCAAGTAAGTGAAGTGACAGTCAGTGTCACACCTAACTCAAGTAAGTGAAGTGACAGTCAGTGTCATACCTAACTCAAGTAAGTGAAATGACAGTCAGTGTCACACCTAACTCAAGTAAGTGAAGTGACAGTCAGTGTCACACCTAACTCAAGTAAGTGAAGTGACAGTCAGTGTCACACCTAACTCAAGTTAGTGAAATGACAGTCAGTGTCACACCTAACTCAAGTAAGTGAAGTGACAGTCAGTGTCAAACCTAACTCAAGTATGTGAAGTGACAGTCAGTGTCACACCTAACTCAAGTTAGTGAAGTGACAGTCATTGTCACACCTAACTCAAGTAAGTGAAGTGACAGTCAGTGTCACACCTAACTCAAGTAAGTGAAGTGACAGTCAGTGTCACACCTAACTCAAGTAAGTGAAGTGACAGTCCGTGTCACACCTAACTCAAGTAAGTGAAGTGACAGTAAGTGTCACACCTAACAGTAAGTGGAGTGCCAGTCAGTGTCACACCTAATTCAAGAAAATAAAGTGACAGTCAATGTCACATCAAACTCAAGTAAGTGAAGTGAAAGTCTTGCGTCACACCAAACCCAAATAATTGAAGTGACAGTCAATGTCACACCAAACCTCAGTAAGTTAAGTGATATTGGGTACTGGACTGCATGTTTTTCAATGATACAATTATGGTGATCTTTTTACCATTGATTTCTTTTTTAGCTTACATTCATTGTACATCAGACAATTGCTTTTTGGTCACATTCATCCATGCCATGTTATAATACATATATCTTTTATTGACTCTTAACAATAACCTCTTAGCAATAACCTGACATATTCATTCCAGATCTTATAAGTTACTTGGTGCTGTTGCAAATTAAGAATTTCAATGTGGAAGACTTCTACAAGAAGCAGCACGTGAGGAGAGTTGAGAATATTATGCGTGACATCTGGCCATCTGGATCTGTTTACATCACAAAGGTCTCATCATTGGTTGATGAAGGAGCGAGAAAACCCATTCCAAAAAGCCAAGGGGAGAAAATACCGAAAGAAGGGTTAGATTTTTATTTCACTTTAAATTTAACTCTTTCATGTGAGCTGGAATTCTTAGTCTTGCCTTAGTAGTGTAACATTTTGACCATTTTAAATCCAATTATTTTGGGCTTAATGAAAGTGAGGTTTTGGCACTACCTAATCGAAATTAGTTTCACTCTGAAACATATTGAAATTTTGATTTAACCCCCCTATCACATCAAACTAGTTCTTGCCCTTTCTTGCCAGTTCTACGAAAGTATGTCTAAAATAATTAACTACTTCGTTCATAAACAATCTTCAATACGTCCATCTCATTCGCAGTTCGTTCAGGTCGCACCTCGTCGGTATGCAACGTCGTAGAGGTCATCATGACCTGATTACAGAACGGTATGGTCGCCATCGAATTTTGAATCAATTCAAAATTCTAAATCACATTCCCCATCTGGGAAAGTCCATGAAGTTCGTAAACAGACCGTAGAATTTTGTAGCTATGTTCATTCAATTCGCACACAGTTTAAATCCGATTCGGCAATGTTTTGAAGAACGCAGTGACGAACTGGTTCTGGTGTGATAGCTATTTTTGTTAATTCGTTCAGAAGCAGTTTTTAATACGTTCATCTCATCTTTATTCCGTCTGCAGTACGTTGGTATCAAGTTTAGATTGGGTTAAATTGTGCGTCCATCTCGTCTACACAACGTATCCAAGCAGTTCAATTACGTCCTTAATCAGTTTAAACCAGTTGACAATTAGTTGTACCTCATTCTCAATACGTTCTAATATGATACTGAATTATAAAATAGTAAACATTGTGTCCCTAATACGTGCATAATGCATTTATAATCCCCTATTTTCCTGATTGGGGTACTCACGGCTGCAATTTACGCCTGACTACACGTCGTAATACATTTCTAGTAGGATTGAAGTATGACACTTCAGTTCGTAGTGTGTCCCCAGTGCATCCAGGTCGTCTTAAGTACGTTGACACTTGTTCTGATTGCAGAACGTGACGATCACCAGAAAATTTTGAGCATGCTCTAAGTTCTGGAAGACCTACTCGTTCGAGTAGTTTCATGAAGTTTTTAAACAGATCCCAAACGGTTCTTAGTGGGTTCTTAGTACGTCAAATCCGTTCGTGCACAGTTTAACCCCGTTTTCGAGAACGTAGTGAGAACTAGTTTGGTAAGATAGTAGGGTAAATGAAGATACATTATTGATGAATGGAGGAAGGTAAGGTATGACATACTATCCTCACAAAACCAATATAAAATGTTAGAAATGTATTTGTTATTAATTTATTAATCTATTTACAATTTGAATGTTATAATAAAGCACACTTTTAGATTGCTCTGGTGGCAATTCACTGTAATAAATAAATTATAAAAACATCATCTTACAGTATCTTGGTTCAAGTGGGAGGAACTCGAGACTTTTCAACACCCTTGCGGCAGACGGAGATTGAGATTGAGAGCTGTCGTCATGACAACGATCCACCCGTTACCATCAAGGCGAATTTTCCAGGCTACAACATTGATTGGTGCAGATATGAAATGGTAAGGAGCACTATTTGTCAACCTTTTTGCATCCATATTATGGAAAGCCCATGTTCCATCCAATTTATGTTAAGTAAAATCAGAATTCTTTTCATCTTTATAAAGATGGGGATTGTATTCATATTCTTTGAAATTAGGTTGCCATAGGAATTCTCCCAGACTTAGCACCAAAAGATGTCAGTATTAAATAATCTGATTTAAAGTGTAGTGATCAATGTGATAATTACACTTTAGTTGGGATGTTGTATTTAGTAATGTATTTGGATATGTCTGCTGATTCAATTGTATTTGGAGGTGTTTGATAGCTTCAGAGTGAACCTAAGGAATGTACCAATTTCTTTCAATATAACAACAGGGCTGGCACAAAGTGAAGTGCATTTTGAACTTCCTTTAATTTTGAAAGGTCTTTAAAGATTTTACAAGAAAATATATTCACAGTTTGTGTATGTATAGCAGGCTACTATGTATAATTGATGTTTGGAAATAAGATTAATTAATATTGTTGTGTGATGGATGATAATTTATGGAGTTGGAGCATTTCAATTCTTACAGTGTATGTTTACCTGGAAATATGGTGATATTGTCTTACCTTTAACTGCTTTAAGTCAAAGATTGCAAGTATGGAATTCCAGGAATATGTTGTTAATTAATCATTTTGTTCTGTTTCATGTCAGTTCTGCCATGTACTTTGTCCATTAATAATGACCAGCAACAGACAGTAATGCGATTATGACCAATACATATCAGATCATGTTATAAAAATGATATACTCATTAATAAGTCTTATGGAATAAAAAGGGAAATTATGTTTGAATTAGAGGTTGTCTAATGTCATTTATTTATTTAGAGAGAACAACCCGGAGTGATTGGCTCTATGATTTAAGAGTCATCAATAGTTAAGTAAAGTACAAATCTAAATACAGGGTGGTCAAAACAATGGAAACCCTGCATTTTCCTCATATCTTTGTCATTTCGAGAAATTACTCCCTGATATCTCACACATTTGTAAAGCATTCACTTAACACCGTACCGTATTTCATGACCATCAGACTGATAATCACAATTTTACACCCTCCTGTACATATAAATCTAGTTTATGTAAATCCTGATATGTTGTGTCCTCTTTATTTAAATGAATATGTTTCGAAATTGTTAATTTTCTCCATTTTATGGGAGGAGGGAGGGGTCAGTGATTGAAGTAGATTTATTTATGAGCTTTAAAATGATATATGACAAATACTATGAAGACATTGGTATATGTCTGCCTAGGGGGGCCCCATAGTTTCGGGACACTGTATATGAACCTGCCCTTTCATTGAAAAAATCATTGAAAATGTTGAAAAATGCATTTCTTGCCTAAGGAGTACACATCAACTTCAAATGGTAATTCTTATGGATAACTGCACATTTATAATCGTAGGCTTTAAGTCAACTTTATTCATTTAAACATGAAGAAAATGATGGAAATCATGGATTAAAATCACCCAAAGACATTTGTTCGAATCAGGGATTTCACAATTTTATTGATTAATAAATCTTCCAATTAATTTAGGCCAGAGTAAATAATTCTATTTTTATTTTTTTTCTTATATCTTATCTTCAACATTTTGGCTAATTAGGATGCTTTTTGACCAGAGGTCAAGTACAATCTCCAGTCTACTGCAAAATATAATCCTTTTGTGAAATGTGGTTGGCCTATGATGGGCTCCTGGTGTGAAACAGAGTCTCTAAAGGTATGTAAAATGGTTCAGAAGACTACTAAGTGAGTTTGAGATCATCTCGCATCCTCTCTCAGTGATAAATTGCGTCAATAAATTCAGATT